CTATTGTTAAAACATTCAAGAGCTTGAAACAACGTGAAAAAGATGAATGCTTTTGCTCCAGAATGCCTGTATTATAAATTAGTTATATTTAATTTAGTTAATATATAGTTTTTGGGTGATGGCGTGACCTCCTTAAAAAATTAGCTATTCGAATAGAGGAATTTGCATCCGCTCTTTTATTTACTGAAAATTGGTGTAGAACAAAGAACAGTTGTCGAACACCACATGATAAAATCTTTAAAATTTTTTCTCTTCCTAAGATAACTTAAGTTACTTCCAAAAATAGAAGCATTAATTCGATTGTATCTGAAATATTTCAAGGCTCATCGATGTGATTATTTGTTTTTAAACAGTCCCTGACAAACTGTGATCAAAGACAAGAACAGACCATTCTACAATAGCGGAAATGAAAATTGACTTCATAATTCCGAGAAAAGCTAGGATTTAACTAACCATTCTACAATACGGAAATGAAAATTGACTTCATAATTCTGAGAAAAGCCGGGATTTAACTAAATCGAATCCATTTGACTTCTGGAAAGGTTTCGGTTTCTTGGGAGAAAACGAAATGATTATATTCTAACTTAGGTTCGTATTTTTTAAGGTTTACGAAAGTAACTTTTTCGAAATGACAGAAACTAAAATAAAAGAAATCGAGAGCCCCGTTGAGATAAGACTTTTGACTCATTAAGGAAACTATCCACAATCACGTACATTTTAATGTACTGCACTAAAGATTCATTTCTTCATTTATCTGACAGGGAACGGCAAGCAAAGTCGATAGGTTATTAAGACAAGCTAAACCAGAGAGCGAATCATTATCAGTGCAGAATATCCTACGCTGAACTGTAATTTCAGTCTTTAAGTGATACGTGTATTAACATAAGTTTAATGATGTTAGTGTTTTAAAGCCGGCTGGCATAAAGAAAGAAGGATGCGCAGTTTGAAACAATTAATAACTGACTTGATTGAGTGTCATCTACATAACAATGAGTAACGCTATTTAAATACGTCGATCATTGCTCCTTGCAAAGAAGTTCCTCGAGCCGAGCAAAGCAAAGACTTGGTACATCTAAAGTTGTTTTAAATTTAACACAACAAGCAAAAAGCAACACTTCTTCTCTCACGATCGTGCATTAAGCGGAAAATTGAATCTGAGCTAAACATAACAACATTTCTAAATATGGAAGAATTTGGAAATTCTAAATCTTGTCCATCTTGTAAAATTTCAATTCAAACATGGCAATCCTCACCTGTTTCACACCCGCCGTGCGGAATTTGCGCTAACGTGAGTAACGCAATGCCAAATACTGAAAGGAAACTGATTTGCCGCAGCGAACGAAGGTTGTTCAACATATCAGACCAGTGAGTACCGCTTTGAAAGAGCTTACCGAAAATAGAGAACACGCTGTTTTGTTGTAACTCTTGCGTCTGCTTTGATGAGACCAACACTTTCGACTCGGCGTTTGACTCGAATGAATGAGTTTGTGGAAGTCTTGTTTACAAGAGAAGCGAAAGAGGGCGGGATCTGGACTTACCCTAACGACATACGTAACACTTCCGATGTTGTAACTTTCGCTTCTGCTTTGATGAGACCTACACTGCCGACTCGGCATTTGATTTGAATGAATTTAGTCTGCTGAAGTCTAGTTGACATGGGAAAACAAAAGTGGGAGGGAACTTGACCGCGGTGACAAAAGGAACACTTCCGGTGTTCAATCGAGAAATTCAATGGTTTGAAGTATCATGTTTGAAACCCGTGTGTACCTATCTTCCAAAGCATATTATCAATCTCACGACTCGTATCTTAAAACATCCTCACAATTTTACATTCTCTACTGCCGGTAGTAGCCCTCTATGATATTGTTTTGTTAACGATGTCACCCTTCATTCTCACAACATCCTTTTCCGATTGTGTAAAAAATATGCTCAGACCTTTGCGTGCCAGAACTTCAAGATCATTTAGGAACTACAAAAGCTGATTTAATGTGAAGTATCACTCCTTTATCGTCACTTAGGCTGTCTTTTGAAGTACAGTAAAATTGCTATCAGTTTCCTTTGTATTCCTAGTGGATTAAACCAGTTTTCTCGTCTACTGAGGCCATTTCATCACCGCCTTTTCATCGCCGAAAACAAAGTATAATAACTAACATCAGAAGTTAGAGCAGAAATCCCCATTTGGCGTCAGTCATCTGCAGCGACAAAAAAAAAAAAAAATAAAATAAACAAAAATCTCGATTACTTAAGAGCTTGCGGAAAAGATGAAATGTAACCGCCACCTACGTCGTAAACAAGATACTTCATAGCTGGGTGCAGCTCAGATATTGTCCGCATTCTTGTATCTATCTTTGTCCCCTTCGCCAAAACGTAATAATGACCCGAGAAGTGAACCGTGACAGTAGGGATACAAAATAAACATGTTTTAAACTATTATAGATAGATTTCTTTTAGTTTTGTCCCTCATTATTTCTCTGTTAGATACAGCGGCATAACTGACCACAGCTACCCTCTTAAAAGAGGCTCAGACGGTAGAGACACGAAGAAACTCGCACATCAAAGAAAGTGTGAGGATGATACTTGATGAGAATATCAAGAGAGAAGATACACGACACACGCTTCTCCGAATTTAGAGGTCACGGGCAGCATTGTTGGTGTGATGAGCCGCCCAGTTCTCTTAATCTTAACTCCAGTTTTAGTTACTTTCTGCTTCCATTTTCAAACCTCGAAAGTCCTGGTAACTTACCGGCATCGAAGCCATATTTGGAAATGAAAATTGAAAGATTAGAGAATGAGGTTCTGACACCCTAATTAATCCATTTTGTTTCTTTCAGAAACCCCATCTCTCAAATCCATATCCGTTTTCAAACCTTCCTATAAGCGTAAAAGTCACCCGAAAATTCCACTCGAGCGATAACTTTGTTTTCGTGTCTCCCTCCTTTATTGATTTGGAGTTGAAGAGACGAGGATATTTTATAGGCTCTCCTGATTCCCTCGTAACTCATACCCGTGTTAAAACAATAGTTTTCAAATCTATAACCGTTATCTGCTCTAAATATATACTAGTCAGGTGGAAGCGGAATTACTTTACTTTGTGATTCCTGCCTCTTTTCATCTCTATAATGATTACTAAAATCTTTTATGATATTCACGACTAATTTTTTAACCATAGCTCACAATTCATGATTTCCAAGTTTTTAGTAAAACAAAAAGGTCCAGGTGGACGTTTAGAGTTGTCCTTCAGTTGCATGTTGATTAACTAGACGGTTCGATTGAGGCCTTAACCTCCTGTCCAAGCTTTCGCCGATTTACTGCATATGAGAATATTTTCTTTACATTCCCTGGCGATGCCGTAAATCGACGAAAGCTTTGCAGTAAAAGGAATAACAATAAAAGTACAGTTGCTTAAGCCCTAAATCGAATTGTCTATAAAAGGTTATGATTCTTTCCGATTTAACCGCTAGGATTCACGATTCCGCTTCCACTACAGACAGGGAAGTACTTTGAATTCCCCTCAAATTTGATATCACATTCATCAGAGGTTAAGATAACGTGAAGGTGGAACTCTATCTGCTCTTCCCGTTTTTAAACGATGTGTAATTGATATAAATATAACTAAACCAGGTGGGATTCTGCATTCATTTCTGCAAGATCCTTAAAATGGCTCATGAATATTTTATAAAACAAGGACTACGGGTCTGGAAAACATAGCGAAAGACCACAACACCTGTGTAATTATGCAACAACTGGTCAAATATAAATTATAACATAGCTAGTAAATTTGTCTAATCAAATTCAATAGCGCGAGCGTGCTTCATACTCCTATTGTGCACGCTCATGACGTCAGCAAACAAATCCCTTGAAAAAAAACGCATCTCTTACGCATCTCGGCTACGCCTCGAGCAACTCTTACGCATCTTTCGTGCTCTCCAAACTTCCCGCGTGCTTCATAGCTCGATGAACGCACGCTGACGTATGAATCAATTGTTGATTGGCTTGACTTCGTGAAATGTCTCTGCAACAACGCCCTACCGAGTTTTCCGGCCGTTTTAAATTGCCTAATAAGCATTAAGAAACAACTTACTAAACCAAATATATCAAATGTAATCCTTGGAGAATCTTTGCTTTTTCCAGAAGCAAAACATGAAACCATAATTTCCTGAAAAATTCCCCTCATTCATAAATTTACATCTTATTGGAGTTCAAATATCGAGAAAATTATCGGTGAAATCTCATAACTATTACAGTACCAAAGAATTAACTTTCAAGTCTTGCTTTTTTTTCCCTTCCCGTTCGACTTACTTTCGATGAATAATTACTGAAGGCCTGCAATTTTTATCAATAGCGTAACTCTCCTTTACGCCACGCGACAACTCATGCCTAAGTGAGCATTTCCGTTAAGTGAAGACTACCACATTATTGGCTGAACTGAATATCATTAAGGAAATAGAATGTGTTTTCCAACTGAACAGTCCTCACAGATACTTAAGTTGGAACTGTAAGATGTCCGCGCGTGCGAAGAATTGACAACCCTGGTTCTTCCAAGACACAAACTCTCGAAAATCCAAGTTGAACAAGCTCAGTACCAACCTGTTTAAAGAATAAAACGAAAAGATATCTTTAGGCCTATTGCGCTTTTCGACTGAGTTTCATATAACCAAACCTGTTATTGAGAATGAAATGTGCGTGGGAAAACTCGTGTATCCATGGGACGCAACTGGTTTACGTTTCGTGCCTGATTGGTGAAGCAAGCGGTGCGAGACTTCTGGACCAATCACAGAGTAAAGTAAAGCCTGAATCTTCTTGCGACACTCAACTGAAAGTCGCTTGCGGAGTCGCATCATCGTATTATCGTATAATACGCTGATTCTATCAGCTGTATCACCGTACTCAATGACTGATTAACTTTGCTCTACCTTAGCGGGGTAATTATTGCGATTTCCCACAACAACAATCACTCTCCCTTTGAAGCTAGTCAGTGTATTTGCTGCCGGTGATGGAGCCAGTCCGCCCTCTTCGAGGAACGCCTGATTGTAAGGAATGTTAACACTCTCGGGAATTTGGCCACATGTGAATCTTTACGTTGAAAGATAAAGAATTAAGGATAACACAGCTGGAAATCATACTTTCTTCAACTTATCGAGTAAATCCGCTCGTTCTTATTAATCTTTATAAGATTAGCGAGTATAACACAAGTTTCCGAGTCGCAGAAAAGTTTCCGTATTTCCTTCTACGCCCCTGTAACTACATATCTATGGCTTTAAACCGTCCAAATGTTACTGAGTCAAGGATACTCCTCCGCCGGCCTGACATCTACGATCAGACCACGAGGTTTGGTTTTCCTTGGGCTTCTGGCACCTCCATTTTCGTCCAATTCACAAATGTGTACAAGATCTTGAGCGGAAATCCGGGGACAGATTTCAGCTTTAAGCTGTGATAGCGGAATAAACTCCTTCTCCTAACAAGAAGAGGAACGAATTTTGCAAAATTCTTTGTTAAACGAGTTTGTGTTGCACTGTATTTTGAAACTTATGGGGGACAAGGAATATATTGCAAAGGGCAAATGAGTTCTCAGAGGAAAACAAGAAAGCGCGGGAAAACGCGGATGACTACAACGCGACTGGTTTCTGTTTTGCATCTGATTGGTTGAGAGTGGTACGAGTTTCTGGACCAGTCACGCACAGAGTCATGCAAAGTAAAGCGAAGCAATCTGGGGGTCACTTTAGACATTCAATTGAAAATTGCTCAAGTCTTACATGTTTCACATTTGGATCGTTATACATTCTGTCATGTCGTCTCATTGAAGCTGTACGCGGAGTGTTACAGAAAATCCTCTTAGCGTCTCGCACCACTCGGTCAATGTCGACTCCTAAAATGCAAGAAATAAGATAACAACAACAGTCTGTTACATTTCGAGGGGTCTGGGTTCGACTTCTGTCCATGTGAATGTGTTGTATACTTGGGTGGGACACTTCACTCCGTTTCCTAACCCACCCAGCAAGGGAGACCTAATTTTTTAAAATGCTGGGGGGGGGGGGTTGGGGCCACCTAAGATTAACCATCGTCACTTCTTGGAGAAGTAAAAATGACCGTGATTGATTCATTGCTACGGAAACCGCGATGACCTGTGACAGCAAGAGTGTATACGTCTGAGGGAAAGGGGTTCCGATGACCATGCACCATCCAACGGTGAAGGAAAGCAGGAGACAACTCACTGAATGGAAACAACTTACCTGGCATATCAGAGAACAGAAGGATGCATTCGTTGAAACCAAACGACAGCAGCTGATCTCGTAGCTGCTCTAGAATAGCGACACCAATGCACAGTGGGTAGGATGAGTTGCCTAGCAACAGAGTGTCCCAAAGGTGATAAATCTTTTTAAGAGGAAACACGTCTGAAAAATAAAAAGGGGAAAAGATAGGAGGCGAAGTCTGCTTTTGAATCAAGAACAGAATGCTGGAACTCACACTGGTTTTTAGCTGAGAGGCGTTAAGAAGTATTGCCACCCTTGGATGGGAATCGTGCGCATTGCAGCTAGGAAATAGTTGTGTTAAAAGAAATGGGGTAAGTTTTTGAAGAAACTGTGGTACTGCGTCGGTGGGAGAGTATAAAAGGGTAATTTAGTATTATCAACTGTGTTGATAACGTAAATTGGCCTACGTAAAGGGTTTAAAAGCTGACGTTTCGAGCGTTAGCCCTTCGTCAGACAACTAATCTACCCGAATACTTACGGCAGAACATGGTGAGAAACCATGGAATTGCGTACAACTGTGGAAAAAAACAAGACCAAATGATAATAGGTTTTATAACAATAACTGTGGAATGGTATCATCATGGTATCACAATTTGCTCCGACCGAGAGAAAGGGAGAATTTGGACCCGACAAATTTAACAGATGTGCAGTGCCTATGATTAGTTGCTATCTTTTTGGCATTAAGGAGTAATCACCAATCAGAGACACCGAAGGGATATCTGAAGATTATATCATGCGACATATGACACGCGCTTTCCTAATCGGAAAAAAATATATAATAGCTGAGAGGTATAACAATTATTGTTTTATAAATCAAATTTAACATAGATGCAGTGCCTATGATTGGTTGCTATGTTTTTGCCATTCAGGAGTAATCTCCAATCAGAGACACCGAAGGGATATCTGAAGACTACATCATGCGACATACGACACGCGCTTCCCTAATCGGAAAAAAAATATATAATAGCTGAGAGATATGACAATTATTGTTTTATAAATCATTCTTACCTCTGGGATGAATCCAATTTCATGAAGATGGTTAAAAAGCTCAGGATCATGAAAGGCGATAAGCTGAGAAAATACTGCCAAATATTCTGCCCAGAAAATGGAATTACCGCACTATTAGTGATTTTTGGAAATGGAGCAAAAGATGTTTAAAAACGACCGATACGACCGCTCACCTTGTATAATGGCTGAATTGTCCTTCAAAAAGAAGTTATGAAGATATTTGGGAATGAAAGCCGCCAGACAAGCGTATCCAAGAGCTGTGAAGGTAAAAAATCATACAATAGTCGGTCGGACACGAAATTCAAACCTGAACCACTCTGGGTTATTTTTAACCATCGGTTTTCTTACCTTCGTCGTTAAAATTGAGTGAAAGAAAAGGCGCGCAGAGAGAATCCAGACCTGAAAAAAGCAAAAATCAATTAGCCTGGTTATGAGGTAGTTTTCTTCAATTGAGTGTTGAAAAACTGAAATCAAGTTATCACAGCTATCAATCAGAGCAAAGATTAACATCATCATTAACCAATGAGAACTCAAAGTTAAAACAGACAACCTGCTTGAAGCGCGGGAAAACGCGGGCGACCAAGTCGCGATCGTTTTTAGTTTTGCATCTGATTGGTTGAAAGGATGGCGTCAGGTTTCCGGACCAATCATCGAGCAAAGTTAAGAAAAGGGAAAACCAGGATCGCTTTCCTCTCTATCTTGAAAACTGCTCCAAAATCAAGCTTTTAGAGTGTTCAGAACAGTTCCATGTAAACCACACAGAGAACCACAAACATCCTCTCCACCTATCAGATGCAAAACCAAAACCCTTCATAACTTGGCCACTCGCATTGTTCCACGATTTAGGAACTTAACATGTTGTTACTTGAGTATTTAAAAAATTCCAGTAATGTTTTCTATCGTTCTCACTCAACCGAATAGCACTCTACACTGATTACCTTGCCAATAGACCAAGCTGGTGTGAGACACAACCCAAGCCTTTAAAATCCTCTTAAACTTCTCATGAGCAGTAGGTGAAGACAACAGTTCATCATACTGATGGCATCGAGGAATGTCGACTTCAATCTGAGAAAAAATGCACAAATAAAAATCATTACACTTGAAACAAGTTGTCCTTCGTGTGGAAATCTTCGGGTAGTGAAATCAGCTGCGCAAGAGAGCAAACAATATATTGGAAATATCACTGAAAAAGTCGAAAATTTACTGGAGAGGACTTTAGTAAATCTATAGTAAGTCAAGTTGCGCCAAAGTTTATATTATGATTCAATTTTAAGTGGTATTTACAATTTCGGATTTTACATTCACTTCACCAGTACTTCTTTGCTTCGTTGCCTCATCAATCACACTGCTGGAAGGCTTAGCATGAGGAATGTTCCCATTAAAACCCTTATTATACGTAACCTGTTTTCTTAGAGGAACACAAGAAAAACTTAAAAGTGGCAAAGTTATTAGGCCAGTTAAACAGGCTAGGCTAGATTGACTGACAAACCTGTCTGTCTGTTTGAGTGAAAGATTCCTTGTCAATAGCGTCATATGTACCTTGGATATCACCCTGAGGAGAAACATAACAAGTCTGCCTTAAAAATAAGAAAAATAATACATTTTTTAGCTCGGGAATGAAATTACTAAAGATTTTTTTTCGCCATGTTATGAACGCAAAATTTATCATCTTTCTTATTTCATTTATTCAAACAATGCTTTCGACGTTGCTGATTTTCCCAATAACCCTACACAATGATCCGATCAGGGCTCGAGCCGTAGTCCATCGTGTAGCATCATGCTCTTTCGTCTGCCACTCTCTTCGGCGTTGCGAAGGAAATTTTTGATCTCATTCTCACCTGAATCCCTAGAAGCGCTGCCCATATCTTTCCTCTTAGGAAAGGAGGAATGTCTATTCTGGCTTCTCGTACTATACGATCTCTTGTGTAAGGATAACCCTAAGACAGGACAATACAGTGTTTAGAATTAATTAAAAGTGCTTAGCAATCAAACATGGAATTTCTTTTACAGTCATATATGAATCAAAATACCATACACTAACGCGAAAGTTCTTTTTGACTCACTAACTGACAAGAGAAACAATAATGGAAGTATTCTCAATGTCAAAATTTTACAGAATATATTAAGTACTTAAACATGTAAATGTTTTTCGTAGATTGCTCCCACCTCCAGAAGTCTTTGAAACAGGACAATTCTGTGAAACTAAAAAACACACCAATGTTAGTCACACCTTTGTATTTTTCAATTTAAAAAAACCACTTAACATACAGTGTACTGCTGCGGCTGCACTCACACAAAACACGGGCTAACTTAAGTTCATTCTACCTGGTAATCCACAGTTGTCTCTCTAATTGTCAAGGGAAGGTTTCATGGATGGATCTAAACAAGAAAAAAAAAAATGTTTAGTGAGAAGGCCTGGTAATCCAGCTCAGTTTAGTTTCTCTCTAATTGTCTATAATGTATAGGTTTAGCTGTGTTTTTTTCGAGAAAGGGCATATCTAGCTAGGATGGACCCAATCGTCAAGAACAAGGAAAAAAAGCCGAGTTTAGTCAGACCACGCATGTCAAAATCCTTGTACGGTCGCAGGGTCGTACATCCAAATTTTTTCGGCTTGATGGGTTTAATTTTTGTATAATACTACGCTCTGCGATATAAGGAGGTATGGCGTACATTTTAACCAGAGCACGCACCCTAAGAGATAATTTATCGCAGAGACAAATATTTGCACAAGAATTCAACACGCCATACGAGGAGAACTGTCACTGGGGCGTACACTGCACTTGATCTCAACGACTTGTTTTGACGTTACACGTCATAGAAAAAGTGACCAATCATTTTACGCGAACTTGATGTAATACACTCGAATGACAAGTCTCCACTCGAGTCTGAAGATAACTTCTTTAAGGGTTATCGAAAGGTCAGTCTCTAACTCCGACAGCAATCCGTCTCAGAGCTTCTCTCACCCGGACGGTAAGACACTGAACACGATCAAGTTTTTAGTGATGTTAACAATTTGAGGCTTTCCTTTTCAGCTTCATTTCCATATAGTATTATTTTAGTGAAGTTTAAAACAGGTGAAACTATTTCATACTCATCCTCCTCAATGAGTGGAAAATATGCAGATGGATCCACATGTTTGAGCCTCTGAAATAAAATCATTGGACAGATATGAGTAACAGATAAGAGCTTCAACCGTAATACAAATTAAACAAGCCTGCGTATATGCTTTTCCTTTAATTTCAGTCCATTTTACCTGTCTAAGTTGTGCCATCGATGCAGGAACTATTGTTTCATCTAAGAGTAACACTCGATCTTTTTCCATCCCAAGTTCCTCTCCAGTGTGTAGTAGAATGCTGCAAAAGTCAACAAGAATGGATTTTAATCAATATTAACTAAAGAAATCTTTATCATTGTTATCATGGCAAATGAAGTTTAATCAGTGAAAGCGCTGGCAAATACGCAGACTGGTAGGAAAAGGAAATACTAACTGCGAGGCAAAACGTTCACGAAGTAAACTTCTATGCGAGAAAGTTTGTGAGGGCGAAGCCCTGATAAACTATCACGCGATATAAATCCCAAAATCATAATCTAATTGTTCAATATTTGGTAGCGTATTAGTTACATACACTGGAAGCGTCATTATTGGAGGCTTTGTCTTAATAAGTCCTCGTTTCTTCAGTTCTCCTTCCATATCTCCTCCAGCCAGTCTCCATAAGTGATACACCTCGTGTAGCGGTCTGAAGAAACAAACGTGAAAAACGAAAATTACATTTGGATCAAACTCAGTTGAACATCAGACAAATGAATAAAGGGGTAAGTTTCTAAAGAAACCTGCGTCGGTGGGAGAGTATAGCAGGTAATTCAGTGTTAACAACTCAAATTAGCCACCGTTTGACGTTTCGAGCGTTATTCGTCATCCATCAACTCTTTACGCCCTCACATCAATTTGCATATCCTCTATACCGTTCTCTATACATTTCTTAAGGTGCTGACGAGGAGAACTTGTTTAAACAATCACAAGCTGCTTTAGTTTGGCGATCATTTACTAAATTCTCGTGACCCTTATGTTTGATTCAGGGTGATATTATAAGGAGATGTTGGATGCTAATCGTTCCTGGAGGCAAAGGGTTAACATTTGACTATGTGCCCGTTCTAAGTGACTTGTCTGTGATTACTGTTTACCTAACCCCCTCAAAAAATAGAATGCCAATCAAACCTCTCAGAAAGGAGATCTTCTTCGTCATCATCAACATCTGTTGAAGAACAAGAAACAGACCCTGAACCTCAGACCATACCATACCAACCAAAATACGTCACGCGTTACTAGGTAACAGTGCTCATACATATGCACAAACCCCACTCAAGTGGGGTTCGCAGAATTACACACTTTGTCCGTGTTGAAGTCGTCATGACCTAGAATGCCATCCCTGTGGTTGACTATAGAATTTAAAGGTAATAAACCAACTATTGTATCCTTCACTGTAAGGGAAATAATTCACCTACAGCACACATATAGTCATCTTGAAAATTGTAATCATCTTTAAACAGATGAGACTAGCCATCTTACCTTGCAACAAATCATCATTTTGAAAATCACCAACAGGAAGTTCTTTTAAGTTGAATACAGCAGGAAATTTCTGAAATCCATTGGTTAGTTTCACCTGGTGGGAACCATGAAGTTATCTTTACAATATAAACAAGGTAATGGCATGTAAAAATCAGACAGTTACATGAGACATAGTCGAGGCATTTTGAGTTGAAAAACAGTCTCATAGGACTTAAGGAGTAAAAAATGTAAAAGCAATTTATCTGTGGGATGGTGTTGTCTGCCCTTTCAAACAAGAGTCCTGATAAGAATTACCTTTGCTTTATCGAAGTTGGCAAACACTTCATGATTCAGTAACTCACATGGGATAGGCCTAGGGAAAAAAACATTTAATTAATACATTTTCATTTACCAACTTGAAGTTAGAATTAGCAGCATTATAACTTACTGGTAAGACAAAAATAAAAGAGTGGATCACTTGTTGAATAACACTCTTCCTATCTTAAAGGTCAAATGATTACTAAGTTTTCTAGGTTTACGCTTATCTGGTCTGGCCTGTGGAACATATGTAAGTAAAGTGCTGTTACCGGTTCCACTTTCATGAGTATTGTGTGGATCAAAGTATATTTTTGTATACATGTCGCCATACAGGAATAAATGTAAGGTAAATAAATAAAGAAGTAAAGAGATATTAAATAGAAATAAACCTTTTGGTAACATCCACTGTCAGGCAAATTCTTAGAAAAGAAGCCAGATCTGAAGGAATTTCCTACAGAAAATAAAGACCAAAACATGCCAACCTTAATCAAATTATTTTTATAAATAATATGAAGAATTTTCAAATGCACTTTCCTCTTGAATGTTGCTAACCTGGAGTTTTTCCAGTGCATGATTGTCATCAAAGAGAAGTTTAAGAACATCACTTGAAGAATCTGATGGAAATTGAAAAACCTGGTTAGGCAGTAAAACTACTGCAGCCTGGTAAGCTCATGTTGGAGAGCACTGGACTGCCATGATATGGCTTGAGGGTTCAAGCCCTAAACTGGACCAAGTTCACTCAGGAGAATGTTCTACCTTTGCTATGGCATCTGCAAATGGTGGTAAAGACATTCTAGTTTTTTTTCCGATGAGGACGATAAACCATAGGCCCTGTCTCCTGCCTCTTCTCCATACTGGTCAGCAGGGGACTTAAAAACCCAATCCGGCATGCAATTATCGCAAGGTGTAGGGTACATAGCTTCCAGTGTTGTGTACTGGACTTGTTTCCAAACATTCCTAAATTAGCGGGGACCAGGAAAATTCCCCCTAAAAAGTTGTAAACTGCTCAATGAAGTCTGATTTAAGTCCCCCAAAGAGTACTGTAAAGTGCATTAAAGCACATTCATATGGAGAATGGGCTATATAAAACCCATCTTTAATTGTCATTACCTTCACTTGAAACTTGAAAATTCCGATATCTGATATACTGCTAAAATTAACAACAGTTTGTGAACAACATAGCACTACCTACCTTGAACACCTTTTACAAGAGAGAGAACTTTCAAGAATATCTTTTGTACATGATTGTTTTCAGATTCACTTGCCCACAAAGACCCTTCCTGAGAATGAATGAGGAGAAAAAAAAATGCAAGATTCTGTGCACTCTTGGTAGAAAAGGGTTAATGAAAAACCAAAGCTAATTTACTTATTAAATAGAAATCTGTACCTACCAATATCAGGTAAATCAAAACCATCCCCAAAGACCACACATCAACCTAAAATAAGGCAAAATTGAAAAAATGACAACAACTTTCAATCAATATCCAAGTTGAAAGTCATGGCAGAAGTTCAAAATTTCAAGTCAAAATGATTCAAATGCATATTCTCCATACTATTCCCTATACATTTACTATGGGGCTGACAAGGAGAATTTGTTTGACAAACACAAGCAGCTTTAGTTGGTTATCATTTCCTTTATTCTGACTTGTAATCTTTAAGTGTGTGATTCAGGGGTGAAATTGTAAGGAGAAATTAGATACTGGTTACTCTTACGGGTCATGGGGCTAAATAGCTAGCTACAGAACATTGCAAATCACCTTTCTTCTTTTGGAGTGTGCCCTCAAATTAAAACTTCAAAACAATATCACATTAATAAATGTTGTTATTGACAGTAAATAATGCATACCTTTGGTCCTGACGGTCCAAATACAGGTGAGAGGCCTTGGCCTGTTAAAACCACCTCAGGAGCCATGAATACTGGAGAACTGCACAAAAAAGTTGATATGTTTTGAGCTACGAACCCCTTTTCTTTTTACATCCACAAACAATAATACTTTTCAGTCAATAAATATGTAAGCTACATTATTTTCATCAAAGGTAATCAGAGTTAGTAACTTTAACCATCATCAAATAAACTGTTACTTGAAACTTTTCAATCATTGTCATCTCTCATATACATTTTCTTCTGACATATACATAGAACACTAAATGATATACAGCTTACCCAATTGGAAATGCAACTCGAGCCCCAGAACCAGTCATATGATATAAACAACTTCTGGATAATTTGACTCCACCCTGAAATCAAAAAGACATATTCATTACTCTACAAAGATAAACAGAACCTAATTAAGTAATTACTACAATATAAAGCAGTGAAAGATGTTAAAGCTCAGTGGTTAACACTGAAAACATGATCAAGAGGTCTGGTTTGAAGCTAGCATTGAATCAATTGTGTTGTTTTCTTGTGCAAACTTCTCACTCTCACAGTGCCTCAATCCACTAAGGAATATAAACAAATAAAGCAAACTGTCATGAGAATCATACCAATGATGGGAATGGAATGGAATGGAATTTGGTGCATCAAAAATCAAAAAGACATTTGATCGTGACCATGAATTGTAAAGATCCTAACCTTTGGAGTGAATACTATGTTCACAGGAGACAAATTCCTATTGACAATGCCATGTGCATTGAGAAAGGAAAGGCCTTGAACAACTTGAAATGCAATTGTTTTAATATCAGTATAACTGCAAGATAAAAATCACATGGAAATTAATGATTAATTGATAACATCTGAATTCAAACACTCTCAAAAAATAATTGGCATATATTCTGAATGTTTTCTTCAAAAATGTAGTGTTTCTTTGTTGTTATAAGGGGTAGACAGTTACCCCACCCCAGCCCCCAGAGTACTTTAGTCATGTGGCCATCGGGAGGACGAGAAAAATTGGACCATGAGGTTGAAGTAAAAAAATAGAATTGTTGAACAATATTTGTTTCCTTAAATATTTGTCTCCACAAGCGAACCCAACACTATCACATCAAATGAAGAAAAAAGCTTGTGGATGACCTACTGCAATAAGGGCAATTCTCTCAAAGTCCGTTGATCATTCCTTTTTTTAACCCTTTAACTTCCAAGATCTGATTGATAAATTCTCTCTGCTAGCTGTTACACATTTCCTTGTAAATTAGTTGTGAGAATTCTATGTCAGATCAAAATAGCAGCTTTTAACCCATAAGTTTGATTATTCTCATTACCTGTTTGCTGGATAATGTATGGATGTTATAGGGAGAAGTTACAATTTAATCACTTCTAGGAGTTAAGGGTACTTTAATTTATTACTAGCCAATCATCTGCAAAAAAACTCACCTAAATTTTTTACCATTTTTCAAAGCAAGCTGTAAATTTTCAGAATAGAACTCCTCAGCAACTATGAGCCTTTCTGAAAAGATATTAACAATTCAATACAGTATAACCTCGCTTAATCATCATAATTAATTAACAGTCATTTTATTTTTGTTGGTGTTCACATCCTTTATTTAGTATAAACAATTATGTGATATCGAGACCCTGGTGATGCTTAACATTATTTTAATAAATTAACTGCAGAGAACTCAAGTGTCGTGCACTCAAACAGAGTGGAAAACTATCGAATGGTTGGAGATGAGGGCGTCAGAGACACAACCCTCCCCCTGCAAAACATCGCCCTCGTGAAAAGTTTTTGAGGTTTCCAAAAGAAGATTTTTACCATTTTTCAAAAGAGACTCACCATGTTTGGCTCTGATGATATCCAGATACTGACAAACATTTTGATGGTAAAGAGTTTTCAATCGCTGAAACCGACCAATTATTACGATGGAATTTGGAGTAAGTGGTAGTCCATTTGTACCGCACTGATCTGTTGGATGCGGAGAAGGAAAAAACGTCGAAATTCCGATCTGCGCGCGGCCAAGCGAACCCATTTTTTTAAAAAAAATTTATATAAATGAACATAAGCTTCTAGATTGACTCTATAGCGACTGTTACCGCCATATAATCCAATTACTTCCAGGCTTCCGCCATGTTGTTTTTAATTGGTAACCACCCAAAGCCTTGTAGCCCGGCCAAAAAAAAAAAATTGATCCGTGCATTAAATGAATTTTTTTTTGGTAAAGTTTCCGCACAGCCCCATCCTACATTTTGCATTTAGTTTTTGGATAGAGAGAACAATAAAAAAAACAATACATTGCCATTGGGAAAACAGATTTATTTTACAATAGTATGGGGCTGTGCGGAAATTTCACCTTTTTTTATTATTACGCGGAAGTTGTTTCCTTGTAGATCTAAGAAGAAGATATCCAGCGCCTTCCACGTAAATTTTAAGCTTTCACAAATCAGAGTTTTTCATGTGTCATAACATCCACGTGTTACAAACAACAACATGATGGAATTTGGAGTGAGAGGAATATTCCATTTGTACCGCACCGATCTGTTGGATGCGAGGAAGGAAAAAACGTCGAAATTCCGATCTGCGCATGGCCGAGCGAGCCCATGTTTTTGAAACTTTTATATAAATGAACACGAGCTTCTAGACTGACTCTAAAGCGACTGTAACCGCCATAAAATCCAATCAGTCCCAATCAGCCAAATCGTTCGCCATGTTGTTTTTAATTGGTAACCACCCAAAGCCTTGCAGCCCGGCCAATAAAATTTATCTTTCAGTATTTCGTCATGCAATAAATGTTTTTTTTTATTGTTACGCGGAAATTGTTTCCTTTTAGTTCTCAGAAGGTGATATCCAGCGCCTTCTACGCAAATTTTAAGTTTTCACAAATCAAAGGTTTTCACGTGTCACGACACCCACGTGTTGCAAACAACAAAATGGCGGACGGCACTGTTGTTGAAGAATATTCCAAACGCGCAAAAATAGCGGTGAGATTTCTTATCCAACTTCCTCAAGCTTTTCCTTATACTTCTAAGGTAACCTTAACTTTTTTTGTATTTATTAGGAGGATGAAATGACAAGTCTGAAGAGGAAAATTGAGGCATTACAAGATTGTGTTGCATCCGATAATGGAACCAATGATAGTGCACGTGATCCGGAGTTGGAGAAGCTTTTTACTGAGAACAGCAAGCTTAAATATCAAGTGGAGACCCTCAAGCGTGTAAGAGATACTCCAAATTACTCTTCAGTTGTTTAATTTTACCAAATGTATTTGAAATCGAACAAAATTCCTATTTTACACATGATAAGTGCAATAAGTGTAACTTCCTCTTTCAGTTTCACTACACATTCCTTATTTTTTTTAGAAATTCCCCCTTTCGAGTCAAAAGATTGCATTCGATTCTCTTTGCCATGCTCCTTGTCTTTGGTCTTGACAACATGACAATGCACCTTAGAGAAAAAAAAGAAAATAAACTGTGCCACCTTCCTAACCAATCTGATGCAATACTAAGTAAGTAATTTAGTGTTAACAACTGAGTTGAAAACGTAAATTAGCCAGCGTAAAGGGTAAAAAAGCTGACGTTTTGAGCGTTAGCCCTTCATCAGAGCGATTGGTATTGATGCAATGCTAAAACTGGTTGTAATAATATAAACTCACATGTGATTGTCACCCTTGTTTGTGCAGCACCCAGTGAAAGAATGCTCTATTATTTACATGCAAAAGTGCATTCACTCCATCAACCCAGAGTGGCAGATCTTCTTTAGATCTCAGATCTCAGTTCTCAGTCAAACCTTGCGCTGTTTGTCTCCTACCCTGGGGTTCATATCTCAAAGTAATCTACTCGTCAATGTATTTACCTATGTGTAAGAAAGTCTTCTTTCATTCAGTAATTCTCCAAGACAACCATTGTCATTAGGAAGTTCTTTGTAATTCATTTTGAATACTTTTTTTTCTCAGAGCATCAAGGAAGAGAAAGCCAATTCCAAGAGGATCATGACTAACTGCCAGTTCACACTGAATGAAATGTTTAAAAAAGCTATTGCACAAACATTTCCTGAACTACCAGATGCCCCTGTTCTTGTACAGGCCTCTCAGGGTGAAAAGTTTGGAGATTACCAGTGTAACAGTGCCATGGCAATTAACCAGGTGATACAAATTGCAAGGTGTCTTGTATAAATTCCTCTTACTAATCAAGTTTGAGGTCAATACTGTAAGTTACAGACCTTGTTTTTTCCACATGGGTCATCAATATAAGCAGAAAAAGGGAGGTTCTTTAACTTATGGTACAGACAGAGAAAATCAGGTTAATAAGATATTTATTATGCCTCAGTGTTCAAATAAAGGGGGAAGATTCCAGTTTAAACAAACTTTTTAATTGGTGGTCAGTCTCCATGGTGAAATTTGGCTTGCTGAACTGACCAATCATAGTGCACCTTCTAACTGAGATATAATATAGAGTCATTTTTGTCACTCTATAATATGTTAGTTATTTAAATGTCAAATAAGTTATTTAGAACATTTGGATTGAGTTTTGTATGAGTGAAACAAATGATATCACAACAGCCAATCACAACATGGATAAGTGTTATGAGGACCCCACTAAGAAAACAAAGTAAAAAAGCACACTGCCTAAATCACAGGAAAACACAGGTGACAGGTTGTGATTGGTTTTAGTTTTTGCATCTGATTTGTTTAGAGGTGGTATGACTTTTCTCGAATAATCTCAGAGCAAAGGGAAGCAATTGATGACTAATTTAATCCATAATTATTTGCAACACTCACTTGAAAGTTGCCTCCATTTCCTGTGCATGGTGACAGCAACATGATTTGATAATAAGAGTGCTGTGATTTTTTTAGTCCATAAAAATTATTTGTTGCTACTTTACCATCCACAGATACTCAAAAGCAAGGGGATCAACAGCAACCCTCGTCAAATTGCTACTTCAATTGTGGCAAATGTACCTCAGAATGATCTCATGCAAAAGGTGAGATCAATAATGCAGGGAAAGACTTGGTAAAAATCAATCTTCTCTCGCAATTATAAAGGAAAAGTTTTGTTTCTTTCAACTTTTATTTGATACAGGTTGAAGTGGCTGGAGCTGGTTTTATAAACATAAGTCTCAGTCATAACTTTGTGTCATCAATGCTAAAAGACATTCTTACAAACGGAGTACAACCTCCTGCTGTTCCGGTCAAGAAGAGATGTGTCATTGACTTCTCCTCTCCAAATATTGCCAAAGAGATGCATGTTGGGCATCTAAGGTCTACAATTATTGGAGAAAGCCTGAGTCGTCTTCTTGAATTTGTTGGGCATGATGTCCTACGGTAAGGCCACATCAGGCAGCTTAGTTTTGTCTTTTGGTGACCTGTTTTAAGTGTGCTGAGGTAAGGGCCTTTAGGCACCCAGTGGAGTGGCAGAGCCAGCAGGAGGGGGGGGAGAGAGGTGGGGACACCCCACTTCCTCCATCAGACCTGAAGGGTTTATTTACTGCTTGTCTAAAGATAGATTCTTGCAATGTCAGGATGGCATATTACCTCTTAACTTGAAGTATTTTAGACTGACCTAACTCACATCATTCCTTAGCTTATTAATTAAATGCTTAATTTGCCAACATGGCTGTTTCCAAGATGACACAGGAAGTGTTTCATGACCTCAAAAACAGCAACAAATAAGGGTGCCCCACACCCAACTCATACTATCAAAATGATTTGAAATCTTCTTTGTGGTCAAGCAAACTTAGTAGTTTTTCCTCATGTTTTATTTGTGTTTTAGCCTTAATCACGTTGGAGACTGGGGCACCCAGTTTGGGATGTTGATTGCTCATCTCCAAGACAAGTTTCCAAATTATCTGCAAGTTTCACCACCCATTGGTGATCTGCAGGCTTTTTACAAGGTATGTTATGCTTTTTCATCCAGATCTCTCTGACTTCTTCTCGTAGCATGCTAACCAAGATTGCACAGCATATTTATCATTAGCTGCTACCTATTGTAAGATACATGGCAGACAAATAAACAACTCATCACTTAACTCTCTTGTTGATTTCTGCTCAGGGATGTTGAAACATCAGACACTGTTACTAGTAACATTCCTTTCCAGGAATACTTTCACCCAGACTGTAATGTTATTTCTTCAATTTTGTTTACTTTCATTTCACTTCTGTCCCATGTGACTACAGCATCATTTACCATAACAGTACACCTCAAGGCCAGGTTTTCTGGTTTTGTATTACCTGATTAGAGCAATTTTCAGGATTGCATTGGGTTTGCTTTAATTTGCTCTCTGATTGGTCCAGAAACTCGTGCCACCCTCTCAACCAATCAGATGCAAAACTTCAACCAATCACGACTTGGTCGCCAGCATTTTGATTTTTCTTTGAGTTCTTATTGGCTCTTAACCCTTGAACCCACAAAAGTGATTATCATGTGACGTCTCCCAATGATATCCATTGGCTATTTAGCAAACAGGTAATGGAAATTATTGGACAGAAGTTATTATCTTGATCTAACAACAAATTCTTGAAACTTGCTACAAGGAAACGTCTAGCAGCTAGAGGGGAGAATTAACAATTAGATCTTAGGAGTTAAAGGGTTAAAGGTGTTTCCTTTTTTCTGATTGGCTTTTTTTTGATGAACTTTGGTTTTGGTTTACAACAGTCAATTGAAAAGCAATCTAAAACTGAGTTTACTCACCAGTTGTTTGCCAGTTCTTCTTACGAATACTATAAAACAGACAATCAGACCACACCATCAGACTTCCTCTGTATATTTTACATTTCAGGAATCCAAGAAGAGATTTGATGAAGATGAGGCATTTAAGAAGGTGGCTTATCAAAGAGTTGTGGAATTACAAGGGCGTGAACCAGACGTTACAAAAGCCTGGAATCTTATTTGTGATGAGTCTAGGAAAGGTGAAATGTCTTTATAAACTCAACCCTTAACTCTCATGAATGACCAAGAAGTAATTTCTCCTAACAATATCAAGCAGACAAGTGATAATAGTAAGGAGAAATATCAATTAGGAGATTATAAATATATCCTCTACCAAATTCCTCATACTAACATCATAAGAACTGTATGACAGACAGTAAGGAGAATTAACAATGAGATCCTAGGGGTGAAAGGGTAAAGATTGAAAGAAAAACTCTTAAAATGAAAAAGGGAAAAATTGTTTATTAGCTTTTTCACTTGTCTTTTGCCTAAGGGTAACAATCTCGTAATACAAGCTAACACGTTCGTCATCAGCTTTATCAGTTTGGTTTCAATGCTGTAAACTCGCAACTTTTCTTTCAGAGTTTGACAATATTTATGAGCGACTGGATGTCACTTTAATCGAGAGAGGGGAGTCATTTTATCAGGATATGATGCCTAATGTTGTTGCAGATCTTGAGCGGAAAGGTTTGTGACTTCTTGTGCTGTACAGAGTCGTCTGCTCATAGCTACATTTTTTCTAGGAAACATGTTTCAAACAAGAGATATTTCTTTTCGCCGTCCTTAGACCGTAGTCCATTCTCAAAATCGGTCTGCCTACGTAACTTTCTTTGGAAGACAAGGCGAGTATAACAATGTCTTATTTCAGGGAAAGTAATCGAAGACGAAGGCCGTAAAGTCGTTTTTGTTCAGGGATATAAGGTACCGCTGACGGTCGTCAAGTCTGACGGTGGATTCACATACGATACATCTGATATGGCGGCCTTGCAGCAGAGAGTGCATGATGAGAATGGCGACTGGCTGATTTACGTCACTGATGCTGGCCAGGTGAGGGTTTTTGAAAAGTGCGGAGTTGCGACATAAAACCATTTTTATATTCATTGACAAAAGGAATCCGGGATTACATTGGTTTTCCTAGAATTCATTGATATAGAGCATGGCCTTGTCTCTGCTACTCAGACACCAACCACGTAGTCGCTTACGCTTTTCCCGCGCTTCAGACTATTTCCCTTATTCTGATTGGCCGTTACTTTGATTTTGGTATCATGTACGACACCCAATCAAAAGAGACTTGAAGATGTTATAATGAAATGAAAACTAGGAATGAGAGGTTACGTAGCTTTTACAGTTTCGATTAAATGAGGGTCCAAGAACCTTACAGTGTTAACTCTACTAAGAATCTTTTCTCGTTTTTGCAATTGTTCCTTGATCAACAGCGCTCGACAAAGAACCAGTGTAGAAATGAAGCGGAGCGCCTTTTGTCGCATTTGAATTCAGTAGAGCCGTCGATCCAATTCACCCTTGAGCGCGAAAAGGATAGACATTTGCCCTTTCTTGATTTAAATGTGTCCAGAGGGGTTCATGGTTATTTAGAGACATGTGTCTGCCGTAAACCTACCCACACCGACAAATACCTCGCTTTCGATTCTCACCACCCTATTTGCCATAAAAAGTCTGTAGCCAAAACTCTACTTAGGAGGGCTGACTGTCTACCATCTTCACTCGATTCGAAGGCTGAGGAGAAGAAATATGTTTTCAATGTCCTAAAGGCAAATGGCTATACAAAGACTTTTCTCCGTAACTGCCAAAAACCAGTTACAAATAGTAGCGCTCTTGATGAAAGGGAACCAGCGACTGGTTTTGCTGTTATTCCTTACATACAGGGTGTTACGGAACCCATCAAGAGAATTTTGAATAGCCACAACCTGAAAGTTGCTCAAAAACCTTTTCAGACTTTGGGGCATATTTTCGCCAAACCTAAGGATCCTGTCACGAAAGAACAACGAACCGACGCCATTTATTCTATTCCTTGCAATGACTGTGACAACGAATACATCGGACAGACCAAACGTCAGTTTGGTACACGATTAAAAGAGCACCAAAAAGCAGTTTTTCTTTGCAAAAAGGAAAATTCAGCTTTATCGGAGCAGACATGCCTAACCAACCATACGATTGGGTGGGATAATTCTAAAATTATCACCACCAATCGGCGTTACCACCAACGCCTTTGTTTGGAGGCTTAGCATATTAACTCCGCCCACTTTCCTTTAAATCGTGACGATGGCGGTTTGCTTCCTGACGCCTATTTACACCTCGTCAGAAAAAAAGGCCGCTAATTAGTGATCATATAAAAGGGCCTCTTGTTGCAGCGTTTAGATCACCTCTGATGAAGGCACTAGACAGGAGTGTCGAAACGTTGGGTCTATGAATTGTAACTTCTTCAGTTACATTCATTAAATCTGCAAACCAGAGTAGCATCAAACTATGTCTAACCAGTGTAGAGTTTATCCCCAACCCCCCCCCCAACTAAAAAAAACATAACGACAACAAAAAAATCTTTCAACAGAGTATCGGTGAGAAAAGTTTCCTTAGAAAATGAAAACAGGTTTGATTGCTTAGCCTTGTGAAACTTATTGAACGAAAAGGCTTTCTCAATATCCTTTCTGGATGATTTACTGCAGTTATTTGCAGACTAATAACTCCTTACTTTCCTTTCATTTATCCAAGGGAGATCATTTTAAACTGATCTTTGGAGCTTCACGAGAGGCTGGGATTTATGATCCGAAAGTGATTCGAGTGGATCATGTCGGTTTTGGTGTCGTTCTCGGCGAGGACAAGTAAGTTAGTCAGGGGAGGGATGGGGATATTACAGTTAGACACAAGTATTGGACGACCCCTCCTCCCTCCCTCCCTCCCTCCTCCTTTCATATCCTGCTCTGGTTCTCGAAGTCCTTTAACTTGTTTGGGTAAAATTTTACCTTTGTATATTTAGTAATTGTCGAATTGTTTTATCGCTCGGCATATTTGTATTTCCTCTTTTAAGGTATCGCTGTCCTCTTTTTTCCTAAGAAAAAGCAACTTATCGCGATCGTGATTATTCGCGCCTCGCCTCGCCTCGCCGCACGATGATTCCCCATCCCCCCTTCCCCCCTCCTGTCTTTGTATGGTCAATAACCTCTAGGGGCAATGTCAAAGATGAAAGACGAATAACACATGAGAAAGAATTGTCTTGTTGTTTCATACAGAAGGACATTTTTCCAAGCGGGAAGTTATACCGTTTGAGTTTTCTGTGTTTACAACAGATTCTGATCATCTTTTCTTTTTCTTGCAGAAAGAAATTCAAAACCCGTTCGGGAGACACAATTCGTCTCATTGATCTGCTTGACGAAGGTCTTAAAAGGTCACTGGATAAGCTGAAGGACAAGGAACGAGACAAAGTTGGTTTCTTTAAATGTTCGCTCGGCACTCGTTACTTGTTTTTTTTGTTCAAGCCGTTTTTCTTGCGCTTTGTGTTTGTTTCTGTTTTGTTGCTCGTCAGAGTTATCTTTTATTTAGCGTTGAAAGTAATCCGGTGTTGTTACTTTGCTCTGTGATTGGTCAATAAAACTCACAATCAGACGCAAAAATAAAACCAATTGCGACTTGGTTACTCAGTCCTTTCCGTTCTGCAAACAGTTTTCATGCTTTCGCCTTGAATTCCCATTGGCTCCTTTTCACATTTGCCTTTTCCTGATTGGTCGTCTTTGGTCCTACGACGCAAAATCGAAAACTCGCCTTAAATGTTTATATCCTTTAACCTTCTTTTCTCGGCTCTTCATTTTGTTTTTGTCACCTAGTTTTGTTAAAATTGACATTTTCCAGTGGAGAACCTAATGTTTCTTTTGCCTTTATTGCTTCTCAAGGTTCTCACCCCGGAAGAGTTGAAGGATGCCCAAGAAGCCGTTGCCTATGGCTGTGTAAAATACGCAGATCTTTCACATAACAGGATCAATGACTATGTGTTTTCATTCGATAAGGTAAGTCGTGAGAGAGGTTTGCTTGTTAAGCAAAATGAAAGCATCTTGATTATTTATTGAGCTTTTTCAAAGTCCTAGATAAATGAGTACACTTGTTGTTTAAATGATATACTGCTTCTTTAAATGCTGTGACGATGGTGCAGAGCAGTGGTACAGCTTTGAAATTATACCTTGTCAAATCTTTCGTCTTTTGAGAGGAAGAAGGGATGATTTGTTCGAGATGTTTTTTAGACCGTTTCAAGTTGTTGAATTTAATGGTCGCGCTTCAACTTGCGGCCGTCTTGGTCGCCACCGCGGCTGGAAAGAATTTATATGTTAGAGTGACCTTTCATCTAGGGGGTAAAGGATGGTAACAATAATCCTAAACGCTTCGCTTTATGTGAGAGTCTCATCGAAATTTTTGCTCCCATCAGATGTTGGACGACAAGGGAAACACAGCAGTTTATCTTCTTTACGCGTACACTCGGATAAGGTAAAAGTCATCTTTGTCACAGTTAGGTACTAGTGTACAAAATTATTAACACTGCGTTCATGTGGTATTTTTCTCAGAATAGTTCTTTTTAGACTAACTTTCGCCCATCGGTTTCGACACTGTCGATCCTAGCAATATGAAGAATTCGTTTCGGTCGGATCAGCTTTTCGGCAAATTTGATTCGTTTTCTGGGTCGCAGTAAATTACCGTGGAAGTGAAGGAAGCCACAAAATATTAGTTTGATAAGTTAGAGAAAAATTTATTAGAAATATAATACAAAAAGGTTAAGGGTGATCTAGTATAGAGACAATTAACACTGATTGCAAATGAATAACTTGGAAAGTTTTTAAGCCTTTCACCCCCAGGAGTGACGAGCATTTAAATTCTCCTTACAATGTAACCCGCGAATTATACATCAAGGTCAGAAGAATAAAGAAAATGATCACCAACTGAAGAAGTTCTTGATTGTTAAACAAATTCTCCCTGACAGCAGCATCTTAGATGTATAGAGAACAGTATGGAGAATATGCATACTGATATGAAGGGTCAAAGTATTCAAATAGTGTGTAGTGTTAGCAAATTGCTTTTCAAATTCAAGGTTTTTATGTGGCTCAGTTTTAAAATTCCTGACCATTGCACGTTTTTTGTTGGCTGTCGTCTTTGTTTTGAGTGTCTCTCAACCATTGTGTTTTTGTTTTGTTTCCAGATCCATAATGCGCACGGCCAATATTGACCGCAAGAGTCTGGAGTCTTGTTTAAACACCACAGAGATTTCTCTGGACCATCCGAAAGAGTGGAAACTGGGCAAGTGTATCATTCGCTTTCCCGAGATCCTTAGCCGCGTTCTAGACGACTTAATGATGCATACGCTGTGCGAATTCATGTACGAAATGGCCACCACTCTTACAGAGTTCTACGACAACTGCTACTGCGTGGAAAAGGACCGGAAAACAGGGGAGGTAATCAAGGTGGACATGGGACGCCTGCTTCTTCTCGAGGCCACCGCGCGCGTCATGGAAACTGCGTTTTACATTCTGGGAATTAAACCTGTTACGAAAATGTAAACATGCTGTTAACAAGCAACTTGAATGAATTCCCGCTTCTAAGATCACAACAGTGATAACTCTTATTCCAAACATAGTCTAATCTTTGTATTTTGAAGGCAAATGATCCACTCGTTTTAGGTGGCCATCTGTGTTGCAGGCGTGGCTTCCCAGTCACTAATGAGAACACTTTTCTGTTTGAAATAAAAATATGGAATTTGATGTAGACCGTAGCAAGAACATGTTACGATGTATCATCTTTCGTTTAGAAATCTAAGTTTAACTCTTGAAATTTTCCTGAGCCTGAGAATTAAAATGCTTTGACGGTATCTCTTGGTCAAATGTTTTGGGAATTGAAAGTATCTAGTAATAGTGAAAGGCTCGTGTTATGTATATTTTGTCACGGGTCAAACATCATGAATTGCATTTTATACCTTTGTACAGTTACTGCATTTCCGAATATTCCTCAGTATTTACTAGAGAATCATGGGTGGAGCGGTCTAATAAACCGCACGAAAATATTCGGTAGATGATAAATATTATTTCTTGGGTAGGGGTTGATAATCGCGCGGTTGTATGATCGACTTACATAATCAGTAAACTCCTGAAAATCTGCCCCAACCGGCAGTTGGAAATTTTACAAAAATGTCAGGGGATTTAGTCTATTCGAGACCGTGCTTGGCAGTCTGATCAGAAGCGTAGAATTTCTACGTGACGACAACTGAGCAATATTATAGGGTGCATGCTCAAGCTCGGATAATTTGTTCACTAAAACAAAAATTATTTTTGGATTATCTTGACATCTCTAAACAAACATCTGATATTCTTAAGAGGTTTGAAAGAACCTTTCAGTTGAAATTCTGTGAAAATTTCTAACTGGGCATTTAGTCTACTCGAGTCCGTGCCCGGCTGCTGGGCATTTAGCCACAGCGAAAATGAAAGTCGGCGCGATTTTTTCCTGCACGGAAAAAGTCGCAGCGGGAAAAAAATAAGGTGGTAAAAAAATGAAGTGAAGTTGAGGTGGGGAAAATAAAGTTATCGAGAGACATGAGATGTCACTGACTGGGCCCCGTAATTACTAGCTGCACGTTAGACGACACCTTCAGGAATGAAAGAGGGTAACTTTCTGAGGAAACTGTGGTGTTACATTGGTGGGAAAGTAAAACAGGGTAATTTAGCATTATCAACTGAGTTGATAACGTAAATTTGCCATCGTAAAGAGTAGAAAAGCTGAAGTTTCAAGCGTTCGCCCTTCGTCAGAGCGACGGGAACCTTCAGGAATAGCTTTGAAACGAACGGCAGGACAGTCGATCTTTGTCAGAGCTTTGGTACGGAATAATCTAGAAAACTCCAGCTCTCTCAAGCGTATGACTCCTTTAAGAGTCTTCTTTGTTGCGTTCGGTGTGGTTGTAATTGTATTAAGGACCGATTTTTTCAGAGCTAAGTCTAGGGAACTGTTTCAGGAGTGACGTCATACCACGTGACCGTACGTACTAGAGTGCAGCCTTAAATATGGCCCGCAAGCAGAGCAGAAAGCACTGTTTTTCATTTGGCTACTTTTAATGGTTAAAGATGGAAGAAAGTAAGAAAGGCCTTCAAAACATCAGAAAAAAGATTCTGGTATTTCATAATATATGATTACAATGTTAATCTTGCTTTCAATATATTTTGTGTTTTAGTAATTGATTCAATGCAGGAGATATCAACAGCTCTGATTGGTTGAATATTTCATTTTCAACGAATAATGAGATATAGAAAGAAACCTTTTTGACAGTTTGACTGTTATGATGTTTTTCTTCGTCATGGTTCCTTAGTTGAGATATGGTATATCATTTTGCATCTCTATCACGAGTATTTTACATATGAATCAAAACATTCTACCAATTAATCGTCAGTATTGTAATCACCTTGTGCCGCGTGATTATTATAAGAAATGATATATCACTCCACCTATCAGAACGCACACCTCACTAATATTGCATGATCTAATATGCTGATAGAAAATGTTGGATTAAATTTTACATTTAAATCCAAAAACTATACGTCTAAATATAATGGGACACAAAAACGATAACGAAATGTTAATAACTTATACTTTATATATGTCTATCAATTTGACACCACACTGCCTTCGCCTGGCTGTTAAGGGTAACTTCAAGTGCGCGGAGACAAAACCGTTTTTCCGTTTATATCGAAGAAAACGCAGTGGCTGCAGACTCCGGTCGTTGGCCTTCAAAAAGGAATTCAGCAGCTTCTGCCTCCATGCATGCGCGATAGCCTTCCCTGTGATAGCTGGTAAACATGGCTTGTGTGAAGAACTGATTCCCAGTGGAATGCTGTGGAAACGCCCCACACATCCACTCTGACAATCCTCGGCACGTGTTACCATGGCAACATTCACAGCAACAGAAGGTCAAACGGTCCACTTCTTCCGCCGATAGCTCCGGCCCAGGTCCCCAGTGGCCAGCCTCGAGATCAACATCAATGTCACGCAAAACCTCTCCCCAGGAATCAAAAGTCTTCTTTTGTGCGGTTTTATTTGGGTGTCTAGGCGCAATGAACAAAATTTCACCTTCGCCAACTTTGGTTTTGCCGTCGCCATTTGGATTGGTGTCATAGTAGTGGACTTTGAACCTGAGTAACAGGATTACCATATCACTATAAGTAATAATTACTAATCATCCTTAGTACTACTTTGTAAGAGACACTGTTGGCTTATGACTTGCGTACTGGCTGACCTGGAAAATAAGGTTCACTCTCACAGTGCCACTCTCCTCCCAGGAGAAAGGGTACACACGTGAAATACCAGGAAGATTCTTGGGTAACCTTCGATAGACTAACATTACTCACGTACTCCCAGCGTGAGGTGGGGGGGGGGGGCAGTTTGCTTGCTGCCATTTATTCAATTTTTTTTGTTTACACATCCTAAGAAAGAGAGAGAGGACGATAAAGAGAGACAGGGGGGAGGGGGACAAACAAATTATTTGTTTGGAAAACTATTATTATTTGCATCTACACAAACAACACGATTACACGGCCTTTCCCTCATTAAAAGAAAATAATGAAAAGGAAAGGAAGAGATTCTTAATCCCCACCCTTCTTTCTGTTCCAACACTGGTTTTATGTATTTGTGATAAAACATGAGACATCAGAATACATCCAACAATAATATATCTAACATAGAATTCTCTATTCCTTCCTAACCTGTAGCTGGATGGTTGTGAACCTGGGGGTTTCTCTACAAAGTTATCACGGATATCCTCTGCAATGTCTCGCCCATCCATGGCAGAAAAAGAACAACCCAACTTTTTCCTAGCCATATCCAGACCCGCCAGCAAAGTCGCTCCATAGTCCCCGTCAGAAATGGTGCGGCCGCCATTGACAGAGACAATTCTTTTCAGCCTCAACTTCAACAAAGGTAGAATACCAAGATTCTCAATATGACCTCCGTCACTCAAACGCAGAACCGGCGGGGGATTGGGACCTTGATTGATCATACCGATGGTTTTGCGGACGAAGCTGACGTAAGCGATGTTGATTGTGAACCATCTACGATTTGATGAAAAGGAAAGTATGCTTCTTTATCCTCTGAGCATAAAGAGTCTGAGGAAAAAATCAACCACCAAACCCAAAATTGGAAAAAAAAAACACTTTGAAATTGCAGTGAAGAAACAAAAAATTATCAACGTTTTTTAGCGACGGCGTCTTAGAGTTGCTGGTATTTTTATTTCACTGTGGATTCTGTGGCTGGAAAGTGCCATTGATCCTAGTTGTATTTTGACATTACGGCCACATCCCAAAAGTACACCATCTGTTGAGCGGCCAAGACAAAAGTCAGCCAAGATACTTATTTCAGTTGTTGGTAATCAGATTCTCTCTTGGGTAAAAAAAGCCGCATATTAAACTTGTTAAGTTTAACATGTGGCCTCCTTGTTCGAGTTGCAGTAGCGCTAAATTTATACTTAGGAGAGGCACGTCAGACTCAGCCTACACTTTCCAGCCATCTTTTCCTGTAACTTCTTTCATTTTGGTCAAGCCGCAAAGCGCACTCTAGAGTGGAACGGTTCGCAAATAAACGCATGTCACGATGTAGAAAATTTAATAATTTTGTGCATAAAACAGTTTAAATGCTAAAGGAGAGAGCGCACTGCGGTAACAAATCGTGTTTTTCACTTCTGCTTATTGCGTTCCAAATTCTACGGTTAAGTATAAATCCCTGTCCAGATTTGAGCAATCAAGCAATATTTGAGGCAAATGACCACACCATGGTAACTGTTTCATTCTCGGTTTTTTTTTCATAATTTTTTTTCTTTTTTTAATAGAACTAGCGTCACAATCACCGTGGCCCCAGGTCGAAGTCTATGGCTGCAGCGTATCACTTTTCCATTCCGAATGGATGACTTCAGTGAACAGCAAACTTACCTGGCGATTCTCTCAAGCCTTCCAGGCTTACTTCCGCCGGTTGGTACGAGCGCAGTCAATGTGAGCAACACAAGTATAACAAAGAAACTCAGTATGCCGTAGGCTAAGTAACGTCGCTGGTCAGTGTGCCAAAATATAATGAGACACAGCACCAAAGGAAGGATCCGGATTACCTCAACAAGGAGAGGCAAGAACTGAAAACAAGCCAAACTAAAAACAGTCAGATATTGTTGTTTCTGGTGGTAAGAATTTAAAGAGTAAAATGAATCTGAATGAATACAAAATAAATTGTGTGAATCCTTGTTCCTTTAAGCGGGACACGCAGTGGTCTACTGATCATTGCACTGGACTCCAGGTCGAGAGGTCTGGGTTCAAGACCGGGCCAGGTCAATGTGTTGTGCTCTTAGACAGAAAGACTTCACTCACACAGTGCCTCTCTCTGCCCAAGTATAAATGGGTTCGATGAAATGCTGGGGGGTAACCTTGCGATGGACTAGCATTCCATCCAGGGGGGAGTGGTATAATCCTAATCGCCTCATGCTACAGAGAAACCTGAATAAGCTCAGACTGGGTCAGGGTCAATAGGCTCCATCACAGGGCTTACCTTTACTTGTTCCTTTAACCCTTTACCTCCCATGAGTGACCAAGAGAGAATTTCTCCTTTACAATAACAATACAATATCAAGCATAGAAGTGATGAGAAAAAAGTAAAATATTAGCTAGGGGATTATTAGTTGATCTAATACCAAATTCTCCAAATTGACATCATACAAATTGCATGTCAGACAGTAATGAGAATTACTAATGGTATCTTGGGAGTTAAAGGGTTAAGGCAAAATTTCAATCCGTATATCATTAAACATTGCGGCCCGACGATCATAGCTAACGATTAGAGAGAGGGTGTCCTCACCTGAATACAACAATTTCTTTTTCCTTCGTGTCGCTCGTCTGAAACAATGGCCGTTCCCATGGAAACTCCAAGAATAACCTTTAAATCTCTAAAGGACGCGTCATCACTCTCCCTCGCTCCCATATGATGATCCACGGCAGCAGCTGACGTTGCCATAGCATCTGACAGGTAAATGTCCAAAGGCATAAGTTTACCATCAAACTCACGTTCATTGGGTGGCCGATCAAGTCGTTCAATCCCATGAGGTGTCATCATCAATAGTTCATAATCTGGCTCCTTGGGGGAGTTAGTCCGTCTCCATTTGTTTATGGTGATACCGCTTATGTAAATTGGCTTCACATCATCAAGGTCCTCTAGTGTCAAAGCTGTGGAAATATTTATTCCTCGTGGCCTGGAGCGTGGACACTTCGGACAGCGAAGAAAAAGGTCACGCCATGAGATCCCAGCACAACCACAGCAACCGACGCTTGCTGATGTGTAGAGTGCTCTTTGAATGCGCCATCTGCAAGTCAGTTATACGTTAATAAATTCGAAGCTTTATTATCCCCCGGGCAACGCCTCGGGCATTTGAACTTTTAGAGATTGGTTCGGTTAAATTCCCGTCCCCCGAGGCCAAAATTTTGTTCAAATGCCCCGTCCAAGTTCCGGATTTAATGGTCAATTTTTATGTAGAAAGAACACGGGGGAGAGTCAAACGCCGTGGGTTGCCTGGTGGGGGGATGCTGAAGTTTAGAACTGAAGCTTAGAACTGAAGCTTAGAACTGAAGGTTAGCCCATAGGCTTGTTAGTGGTAGATAGGCTTTCTCCCGGCTTGAATAGCCATAAGCCTCTATAAACCTTGTTAGTCCTCCTCAATGGAAGAAGTCTTGTCATGAGCGTAGGAAAAATAAAAAACAAAACCAAAAAAACGAATCGAACCTCGGACCTTCAAATTCTGGCTCAGATGCTCTACCACTGAGCCACAGAGACTCTACACTGAGCCAAGCCACTCTAACTTCATTTGTGAACCGGGAAAAGTAGCACTACTCCTTGTCGCTTGACCTTTATACCCTGACATCAATATGCATATCCTCCATAGTGTTATCTACATAATTCTTCAGGTGCTGAAAAGGATAATTTTTTTAACTATCAAGAGCTTCTTAAGTTGGTGATCATTTCCTTTATCTTGTTGGGTTGATATTGTGCGGAGAAATTAGATGCTAGTCACTCTTAGGATTCAAAGGGTTAGTGCTGATAAAACCAGGAAATTCATGTCTGGTTCATATGCAAAATTAACCTTACCTGTTGTACACGTGACCTATACGTTGCTGTACTGTACCAATAATCGGCGCACTCCATAGAAAGAGGGTTGAAATCGCCAGCAGCATAAAAAATATTTCATCATCGTACTCTGTCTCCAACACTCTTCCATTGAATACCCTCCAGTAAATTACGAAGGAGTAGAAATAAATTACCAACATCAGCGTGGCATTTTTGCGCATGAGTGGGAACGAAGACCACACAATAAAAGTCGGCAAAATGATAAGGATCTTCATCCAATTTGGAACATAAGCCAGAAAATTGTCGATGAACCACGGAATGAACACCAGGCCGAAGAACACGACACATGACATGATGAGGAAATTGAAGAATCCTTTTCCTTTTGGGATCATACCCCTTACTACTCCACAAACAATGGCAACCGCCACAGGAACTGCAAAAAGGATAAATTGCTGATTCACTACCTCTGGAGATGCATGGCGTTCAAGTTCGCATTCCTTCAATGATATTTTAGGATCGCGCTTGGCGAGTTTTTTGCATGGCTTGCTTCCTCCTCTCAGAATACGTCCAAACAGGAAATCAACTACAAAGGCTAGTGGGCATGCGTAGGATGTCCAAAGGAGAATTGGAATAATGAAAGCCACAAATATCACCATGGTGGACAAGATAATGGAATCTAAGATTCCTTGGCAGGGTTTCTTCCAGTTGCAAAAGATGCCACTTCTCTTGCGCATGTTCTCGAAGAACTGTTTGTGCCACTCGGGGTCGTCCTTCTTTCCATGTCGGTATTTCCAGTCAAGGTATGCAGTGCCTGTGTAACCACCCCCTGAGACACAGCTTAGGTAATCTATGTTAACCTTTTTCTGCAGCAGTCTGCGCAGGACACCCGAGCATAATGACGCTGACCGAATACCACCACCGGAAAAAGCAACTCCAATTCTCGCCATTCTTCAATTATGGAGGAGGATATCGGCCTTATCCAAGGTATTTTCTACAAACTGGAAGGAGATAAAAAAAAAACTCAGGAGCCAGGCATCATTTATCATTGTGAGGGGCGGGGGGTGATGGATACTTGGAGGATTGGTTTTCGGGGTAAACGGAAGGGGGGGGGTCAGCTCTCGTCGCCAACAGAGTATAGAGGGGGGACTATGGAAAATTGACCGTCAATTAAACGCCAATGAGGGGAGGGAGGTCATGGGAATATTACAGAGTCGGGGGATAAGTCAATTAAAGGTTAATTTTATTTAGTTCAACCAAAATCCTCAGCCCCCTTCTCTTAGTTCTTCTAATCATGTAAAATAAAGCGTATTCGAAGCATAAAAAGAAACCATCGATGCAGAAGTATCAGCTGTGGGATTAGTTTCCACTAAAAGCGTCAGATCGATGTTTATCAAGAAAGTAACACTGAACAAGAAAATATGTCAATAAGAGGGCAAATGGAAACTATACTTAGAAATAGGAATGAAAGTACGTTTTCAGTCTAAATTCGTGCACGACAACACATTTCATAACACACTTTCCTATTAGAATTATTTACATGTAATTTAGTTAATTGAGTCGTACGAAGCATATGTTTAAAATATTTCAATAGAAGCAGATCAATACCTGGAGAAAGGAGCGCTGGTTTCTACCAAATACGTGGTTATAGTTACTACGCAAAGAATTTTCAGAGCGTGTAGTTTACCATCCATCAAATCTCAATCAACTCTGCTGTTTTTCACTGAGTTGTAAAGGAATTTTCACCGCGAAATTATTCAAGATTTATTGTTCTCAGTTAATATAAAAGGGCAACAACGCGGTGAGATAATAATTAATTTTCGATGCGATCGCTGAGCTGCAATATAATTATTTTGTAAGGAATGCACCTTAAAATATTCACAGATGCAGATGTTGTCCTTGCTCTCTATCGAATACTGAGGTTAACAGCTCGCTTTCGATTGTTTCAAAGCACCGAGAGCAAACGATGATCTCAATTTTTCTTTACTTAAGTCCTTGTAAATCGAAATCCATTCAAACTTGTCAGAGAATTCTGAGCGGCAAATAAGTGTTCATTACCGCTTAATTTGGATCAGTGAGCTGTAGTAGTTTGTCTTTCGTGAAAACAAAACTGAAATCGTTTGCTTGAAAGAAGCCGTATGTCTAGAGATCAAATAACCTGTAACCTCACCTCTCATGCAAATCAATGTCCTCACCATAGAAAGCACGCCAACCACTATGAAAAGGTTGCTTGATTCACTTCAGTGACCTTTAGCGAGCTTATTACTTTACGCTTGAATTAATAAGCAAACATCGAACCGAAAGTGATGACAATCGTGACAACCGTGCTGTTCGATCAGGACACGCAAAAATTAAAAGGTCACAGCTGTGAATTTCGCATTGACAACATCGTTTAATTTCCGTCACAGCAGATGTATATTTGACTACTGCAACATTCCCGAAATTCTGAAGAAAGCTTAAGAAAAATGTTCATTGTTAATTTTCAAGATCTAAGATCAGCTCTTATTTTTGGTGTTGAAAACAAATAATATTCTCCTTGTAAACTGATTACAGAAAATGTACATAGCAATCAAGAATCGACGAAAATTGGTAGAGTTAGTTCAAACTGATTATCCCAACGGTGTTAATCAGAAACCGACACAATACAGAATTGCTATCACTCAAATGGTTTAACTAAAGAAAATAAGCTTGTTTTGTCAGCCAAAACAGCACGCGCATTTAACATTCTTCGCTATAGCGGCCTCGTCATGTATGATCTTTAATTTTTTCAATTATTTGTTTGAAAGAAACGACCATTTCCCTACCTTGGAGTGGATTCTATGCTCATGTATTGGACCTAATTGAATCTTGACATTTATTCAACAGAATTTAGCTGATATATGCTGATTCATATTCAACAATCGCGTATTTCAATACCGACCGGAATTCGGATATCAACGTCGTTGAAGTGCGCAAATTACTGATCCTGTGTTGAACTGTAGAGTATTTCTAGAGTAAAAGGGTCTTACTTTTGGGCATTTAATAACAAGCTGGCGAAACAATTTTTGGAACGATCATTTAACAAGCAGCTAAGAAATTACCTGACTAGGCATCAATCTTTACCGCGTGGTCTGCAATAGACAACAGCATAGACACGCAAGGCATGCAAAGAAAGCTACTGAGCACTCACCACTGGGTTTTGTGACACAAAAATGATTTTTTTTTTTGTACGAGAAACATCAACAGTTGTTAAATTTAATTATCCATGAGATATATAGGGCATATTCAGGTATTGGAATTTTTTGACATCTTTAAATTGAATCAATATACAACCCTTAGAGAAAAAAATGACAATATATTTGAACATTGCTGATCTTGACAGTATGCAGTATGTTAATCTTGATATATGAGCTGACTCACCGTGACGGTTTTTCTGAGCTCACTTGGAGAGCATTAGACTGCGAAATCAGAGGCTATGAGGTTCAATTTCTCGTAGGGTACTCCAATTTGCTTATTTGTTTCATGCGAATGACAAATCCCTTTCTTTGATAGACAAACGAGCCCAGAACATACCATTTATTATTTTATCTATCCATCTTAAATCACAGAGAAGTTCCAAGGTGTTTACTTTTAGTTATACGATGTTAGTTCCTGGGGCGGAAGTAACTTCCTTTTCATCGGACACAAACTGAGCTACTTTAGCCTCCATGCTAGCGCGATATCCCTCCCTGTGATAGGCGGAGAACTGCGTCGGCGTGAACAACTGATTAGCAGTACTATGTTGTGGAAAAACCCCACACATAGCTTCGGACAAGCCACGACACGTGTTTCCATGGCAACATTCACAGCAACAGAATGTTAATCTATCGGCCTCCTCTGATGATAACTGAGGTCCAGCGCCCCAAAGGCCTGCCTCGAGATCTTCATCGATGTCACGCAACGCTTGCTCCCATGTAACGTAAGGCGTGGTTTTCACCCTTTTGCCTGGATGCCTAGGAGCTATATAGAGAATTTCTCCTTCGCCAACTTTGGTCTTTCCGTCGCAGTTAACATTCTTTTCATAATAATAAACTTTGAATCTGGAAGCACATAAGAGAAAAACAATCCTGTAAACCATGTAAGAGGTAACATGCTTTTAACGTAATTTTACTTTGACAATATTGTGAAGCGCCACTGAATATATCCACATAGAGGTCTGCGCTATATAAATTTAATTATTAAGAGGTACATGTTTAATTTTTTTGCTATATTAAGATTACACCCGAAAATAAAAATCAGCTATTCCCAAAATCCATTCGCTCTAAAATGGATGAAAAAATTGACTATTTGAAACTTAAACAAATATATTTTCAAAGATTACCTTGAAAAGAAACAAACAAAAAAGAGTGTTTATCCATCAAAATTTACATCAAGTACCTGTAGCTGCTTGGCTGTGACCCAGGGCTCCTCTCAACGAAGTTATCCCGAATATCCTCAGCGATATCTCGTCCATCCAGGGCTGAAAATGAACAGCCTAACTTTTTCCTAGCCATATCCAGAGCAGTTAATAGGGCGTCCGCGTAGTCTTGATCCAGAATAGTGTTTCCTCCATCGACTGCCACGATCTTTTTAAGCCTCAGCTTCAGTAAGGGGAGAATGCCAAGATTCTCAAGATGGCCGCCATCACTTAGGGACAAAACAGCCGGCGGGCTGGGTCCAACATTTATGACATTCATCGCTTTACGATGATAGTGACCACCAAGGGTATTGATTGTCAACCATCTGTCGAGAAAAAGTTATTTGATTTTTCTTTCATAAAATGAAATTACGAGCGAGGAACCTTGAAATGCGTTCATCGTTTTAAATCAGAGACCCACCATTTTGGATTTCCACTATAAAGGACACTTTTAATCACGTAGTGAGCAGCGATGTAAATTAACTGGAACAAAGGAAATGTTTACTGTATACTTAAAATGGTTCAAATCCCACACGACTACCCCTACACCAATGTGGTGGAGAATTTTATGTTTTGGTTACCACGATGCTCTCAGTGACACGTCATATGAAAACGATCTATTGAACCTGCGTGGCTCACGCTTCCCGTTAACTCTCAAATATCGCGTCCCCGTTTCCCCTAATCTTAGCACCTATCAGGGTGCACAATTTCCGCCAATGGTAACTGTCCCTATAGTTTGATACACCACCGCGGGAAAATGACCTGATACGTCCCTTGAATTCAAGAAAAGGTGATATATCCACAAATAGGTTAAACATCAGGTATAATACATTCCATTGTGGTTATGGACTAGAAAATGCTAATCAGTGGGTCACTTTTTCTCCCACAATATGTCCATAATGATCATGTAGAAATAAAACCAGAGTGCCCTTGGTATGGGACTCCGCTAAAGCGTTACGCGCGCATAGTCTCCGCTTGACATGTAAGCAAACCATTACCTGGCAAGTCGTTCCAATCTTCCAGGATTTTTTGCTCCAGTTGGCATTAACCCTAACAAGGTTATTAATGCGGTAATACCAATGTGTATCAGCAATCCTGCTATCAAAAATTTTTCACCGTCATTCTTCGCATAGAGGACAAGAGTGAACACCAAAGGAACGACTCGGAGGAGTTCTATTACAATAGGAAGACTCTAGAGTGAACATGAATGAAAGAAACTATTCATACAAATTGACCTTTTCGTTAATCCATTTCTAAATTTTTTAATCTTCAGTCGATCAGTCGTCAGAATGTTAAATCGGTAAGTCAGTCAGTCAGTCAGTCAGTCATCGTTCAACTGTAAGCCAGTCAAACAGTCAGCCAGTGAGTCAGACAGTCAGGCAGTCAGTCAGTAAGTCATCGATCGTTGTATAGCTCGGTCAATGAGGAGGCTTCAAATTTCATGCAATGCACGCCAATTTACGCGGTTAACATAATTACCTGTAAGCAGATATGACGTCTCTTCTCGTGCCTCTTATCAGCTACAAGAGATGCACCGAAGGAGAGTCCAATCATGACCAGAAAGTTTCTAAATGGCGCCTCATCACCTTGCGCTAATCCTGAGTCATAGTTGACCGCAGCTGCAGAATTTGCCGCTACCTCAGACAGGTAAACATCGACAGGCATCAGCTTACCATGAAGTCCCTGCTCATCACCAGGACGATCAAGTCGTTCAATGCCCTGAGGGGACATGGTGAGAAGCTCATAATGAGGTTCTCTGGGGGAAGGGGTGCGTTTCCATCTATTAACAGTGGTGCACCCGATGTAGGTGGGTGTAAGGTCATCTAAATCATCTAAAGTCAAAGCCTTTTTACGGGGTATGTTTTGGATCATCCGGGATTCGTCGAGGGCTGGACAGAAAAGGAAAAGGTTACGCCACGATATGCCACTACAACCGCATTTGCCAATGGTGTTTGGATGATAAAATGCCTTTTGGATGATCCATCTGTAGAAAGATGTAGTTAATAAAACAAAAGCTGTTATTGAATGCGGAACATTGAAATTTTCAGGCTCAATTAAACTTCAAAACCAATCTTTTTACATCCGGTTGTAAGTAACGTGATGTTTGCACTATGGTAATAATTTTTTCCAAACAAAGGACAACCACAACTTCTTTTCCATCGCTTCCTCACTGTTTGAATTAACCGCGCACACAACCCCGTGACAGTAGAGATACGAACAGCATTGAAAAATTAAGCTCACTTATCCTCACCTGACATAAATATGAACAATGCTTTGTTGTATCGCTATAACCAAAGGGGCAGCCCACATTAGAAGTATAGATGCTGCAAATGCTTGATCAAAGATGCGATCATCGTAGAGGATGCCAAAGGCATTTATACGATACACTCTGAAGTGGATGACAAACGAGTAGAGATACAAGACGAATACCAGTGATGCATTGTCACGCAGGCGAGGAAATAAAAACCAAAAAAAGATCATTGGCACAAGGAGCAACCCTTTCAAAAAGTCTGGTACAAGTCGCAGGGAAATGTTTAAAAACCAGGGAAAAAACAGAATTCCAAACATCATTAAACTGAAGAGCGAGAGCCAATTGAAAAGACCTTCTCCTCTTTGGACGCGTCTTTTCAAGACGTAGAATATGAAGGCGAGGAGAGCAGGCACGAAGAAGAGTAGAACGCGATCGTAAATTTTGTCCGCATTCTTACGATTCTGCAGGCAATCGTCGAGGGTTGTGTTTGGATTCAACCTGACCTCTTCTGGACACGGACGACTGCCACCCCTCAAAATTCTGCCAAAGAGGTAATCGATAATATAGGCCAGCGGATGTGCGAATGATCCCCAAATTATGAAAGGCGCGATGACAGAGATGAATAATGCTAGAGCACAAAAGATCACGCAGTCGAAAATACCTTGGCAGGGATTTTGAAAACTGCAAACTAAGCCGACATTTTCCCTCATGTGATTAAAGAACTTCTGATGCCATTTCTTGTCATCTTTCTTATTATGCCTGTATTTCCAGTCGACGTACGCAGAGCCTGTGTAACCGCCCCCAGACACGCAACTCAGGTAGTCTATTCGCACCTCCTTCTGCAGCAGTCTGCGCAACACTCCTGAACAGAATGCCGCTGACCGGACTCCGCCTCCAGAGAACGATAACCCAAACTTTGCCATGGTGATATCGGGAATTGCACTATTTTCAATGGAAGAAAACAGCAAAATTAAAAGAAAAACTTATACCTATCTGCGTTTCGTCTGCGGAAAGAAATAGAGGTTAACTATGAGTAAGAAACCTTTATTATGGCTACCTTCTCTTGTCTCTTTTCCATATTGCATGCAATCACTATTTCCGTTTTAAAATTTTGTCCGGAAAGTTTGTTTTTACTCAATTGCTCGATTCAGGTTCTGAAAATTTATAACCGACGTCTAGTTTTTTTCTCAAATTTTGTCGTAGTTTTGATTGACTGGTAACAGACCCTCGTGTCGTCCAATTCTGTCTGTAAACACCTGAATGATTAACAAAATCGGGCAACCGCAAAGCAGGAGTCCGATTTGTTAATCACGAGACCGATATGGACTCCACTCAGTCTTTTTACCGTTATTAATTGTTAGCTTTCAAGGATGTGACCACAACTGACCCGAAACGTTGAGCCTATGACACTACGTGATAAGGCAGTCACGCAAGCTCCTTATACTTGCGCGCGTAACCTCTCGCGCGTTTCATTTCAACCGAGCGTTGAAATGAACTGCTTCGGGGCCTTCGAGATTCCCTCTTGTAGTCGTCATGGTGAGCCAAAATTCATACCAGAATGCAGCTTTACTTTGCTCTTGTTAATTGGAATGAAAATTTTAGAATTTCATCTCTAAGTCATATAACACCATATCCGTGATAGGATCGTCTTCTCAATCATCGCCTCTTAGCTAGATGTTACATTGAATTTGTGGCAAAAATTTATATGTATTTACATAGTTTTATGATCACCGTTGTGAGCGGATGGGAGAACAACATTAGATGCTGCTCCAGTCGTGTGTATGATATTGAGGTATTCTTCGAAATAAAAGAAACGAGAAAAACAAACGAAAGAAAATTATACGTCACAATGTATTTACATAGTTTCAAGGATTTTGTGAAAAAAAGTTAAATGTATTTACACAGTTTCACGGCTGAGAGTACAGAGCTGCGAGCGACAGAGACAACAACATTAAATGCTGCTCCGTCCGTGTACATGATATTGGGGTATAATAAGAAATAAAACAAAAGGACAAAACAAAAGAAAAAAAGCATTACAAATAACATACGAATTGACATAACTAAAACATATATCACCATGAACTGAGGGAAATAAAACTCATGTTATGTCATTACTTCGATCATCAAAACTTGGTTAGGGTAATTAAACTAGTTTTGTAATTTCTCCACATAATGTAAGCTATGTTGATAATGTTATTACTTTAATTTGCAAGTAGTGTACTATAAATAATTCTAAGAAATTGTCAAGCTCACGAATGGTCAACAATATTTTATTTATCTGCTTTGAGGGGTGACGTTTGCAGTCAAACAGGAATTTATGCAAATTTTGCTCCTATCACGGAGAGGAACGATTTGATCAAAATAATTACTTTCTAACCATTTGCTTCTTAAATTTAAAGATTCTCGAAAAAGCGATGGAGGATCTCTTCAGATTTGCTCCAAAGTGGGTTTCTGTATTTGAATGCTTTGTGATGATATTGTCCATGAAGCTGTAAATTCAGTTGAGTCACAGACCTTAATAGTTGTTCGAGCGGAAATTGGAGAAGATTGCAGACAAAGCAAAATAATCGAAATGTAAAAGCTTTTACCTTATAAAAAAAAGACCATCCTTTCCTGCTTGTGTCTGTTGGCGAAACGCGCAATAGTGGGGTAACTTTTACACACCCTATTGAGTTTTACTTGCCGAGGATGCAAATAGAGATCTGTCAACTAAGTGATATTCTCGTTCATTCATACGATGCGGATAAAATGGAAATAAAAACAACCTTGGTATCTGGAACTATCTGGTGAACGCACAAGTATTACCTACCTCGTGTCTTCTTCGTCGCGGTCAATAATTCCCTTAAAAGAATTATCCTATGATTAAATCATAATTATTCAACCCGGATGACGTATTATTGACTCGATAACCAGCTGCAGCCGCTGCACGAAGCCAACGCACGAGAACAGATCCAAGAGAGCTGCGACAATCAAGTCTACCTGGGCCCAGGTTTGGGAACAAACTTTGTCCTAACAGTGCAGGGCCAAGTTATCTGCTTAATCTGCTTTGAACGATGGCGTGAGCGGTCAAACGGCATTTTATGCTAATTTTGTTCTCAACACGGAGAGGAATGGTTTGATCAAAATAATAATTTTTTAACCATTTGCTCCTTGAATAAAAAGATTTTTGAAAATACTCGCAAGTTAGTAGTCCATAGCGATGGAGGATCTGATCAAGTTTGCTCCAAATTGAGTAATTTTAGGGTATTTGTTGCGAATGCGGTAACCGTAACCTTCCAACACCAAGATTAAACTGATAAAAAAAACCAATTTATTGGTGTGGGTGAACGATGTGGGTTGAAAATAAAAAATACAAAATTAAAACAATTGATTAAGTAAAGGTCAGTAGGAGAGAAATCCAGCCAACTTGAAACGACGATACTTACATTGTTACGATTACTACAAAACTGCACTTGACGAGCAAACACTGTTCGAAGACGAAATGAATAACGTTGGTACTGCTCGAAAGCGAACTGGGACTAGCGCGACAACAAAGAAAAAAAGAAAGGCCCCCAAAACAGAGAAAAGTTAGTTTATAGACGCAGGAAAAAAAATGAAAATTAATGCGTGCGAAACGATTAAGTGAAAGTATATTTGACGCCAATAATTACGAATAAACAATAGTGAATGAAAGTATGCGATATGGAAAACAAAAGAAGCTGACTTACCGGTTGAAAAAACACTAATTGAGACGACGCACAACCGCAGCAACGCTCTAATTAACAATTTACAACATTCCGCAAGCTAAGATCTTACATTTGTATTTGAACGCTCGGTTATGATATTGTTCGTGCCACTGCTCAAAATAATTTGTATGATTTCGTAAAAACTTAATTAATCAGTAGTATTTACTAATACAACCACCTCCCACCCCTCCCTGCATAACAGTCTCCCACCCCTCCTTGAGTAATAACAGTCCGCCTCCCACCCCTCCCTCAGTAGTGGTAGACTGCATCCCACCCCTCCCTGACTACTAATGGTCTGCCTTCCCCCGCCTCCCACTGGTAGTCCAAAATTGTTCCCAAAAAATGGTCCAAAAAAGGTAAAAAAAAAATGGTCCAAACAATGGACCCAAAAATATGGTCCGAAAAATAGTCCAAGGGTCCACATAACTGTATGCCTCTCCGGGCCCTGGTTTGGAAAAAAACTTCTGTCCTAACAGTGGGGGGGTCAATTGACCCTGTATCTTATTACTGTCTCACGTCGTTGACTTAATTTATCACAAGCGACTGGTTTGTAAGTTCGTTAGGCCTGGTTCAGACGCCGCTCGACTCATTAATTTAGCCCTCTAACAAAGTGAGGTTACTTTTAACGTGGAATACACGCTGTCAATCTACTAACTTCCCATTCGGTAAGTAAACACGAAGCAAACTTGTGGCATGATTTAGTATGTTTAGCGTTTAAGACAGAGACATTAAGCAAGTAATCCCGTTCTGCTTCGAAGGTCCAAATCTTCAAAAGCTAATTAATCGACGACATCGATCAGTTGTCTTGATGGTGGATGAGATATATCATGAAATAGGTGGAACATAATTTTGTGCGGAAGTACTTAAACGAAGCGAAAGGAAAAAAAAGTCAATCGTGGCGTCTATATCTAATTTGGAGTTGTCGTTTCACATAAGATCGATAAATTATCTGTCCTTTCATGGATCAATGATTTACACTAATCACACAAAAACCGTTTTCTTTGGCAAACTCACAACATTCGGATTAAAACAGACACAAAGCGGCTCACATGTTTACTCTTGCTCAGTTGCATAATTATTTCATGGATGACTGATCGATCAACATATTCATGCAGGAAGAGAATGAAAATGAACATATTTCCTTTCCTGTAAGTCCATCAATTTCTAAACTGCAATTTTTGCCAGGTCGGGGACCTCTGGCGCAGGTTAAAGACCACTTAAGACTTTGCTTTTAAAAGGAAAAATACTTATTATAATGATAATATTGCTAACAAAAACAATAATAACAATAGTAAATTAGTGAGACCAAAGATAACTGAATAAAGAATATAAGAAGAGGTTTTCAATGAAGTAATGGCTTTTTACGGTTATCGGTTAAAATTTTGGCTATTTTTTATGTTTACCAGCAAGCTTCTTTGACGTATTTTACGATTAGCTCTTAAAATTTGAGAATTTTTTACGCCTGACGAGTAAACTTATTGGCCGTGTTACGGCTGACGGTTAACCGCTTTTGGACCTCTAAGAAGGACCGTAACGCTCTGATTTATATAGGGTCTCAATGGGGTCAACCGTTACCCGTAAAACGGCCAAAAAATTTAGCCCTTTGGCGTAAAAACTGACAAATTTAAACCGTTAGTCGTAAGAAAAGTTAATCGTAAAAAATATGTCTGGTGGAAACAATGGAAAAGTGTTAACCGTCATTGGCCAAAATTTTAACCATTAGCCGTAAAGCCATCGCCCCATTAAGACTCTCCTTAAACCGAGAGGGCGTTTTCTGGAAAAAAAACAAACAAACAAACAAACAAAGAAACAAAAATAGAGAAAAAGACGCCTAAATATGCGAAGAATAATGGCAGGATGGAAAGGGAAGATAAAAGTAGGAAATCAAAGATCAACAAACAAATATTAAGGAGATATACACTATCTTTGCAAGTCATGTAATTAGAACTGCGAGAGCACCCGGTGCCGGGTTCTTTAAGGAGCATTTCCATAGGTTTTATGCTTTTTTTTCCCTAATGAATTTTTTTAACTGAATAGTGTCCAATCCTATAGTCCCCAACTAAATTTTGAGTATCATTCAAATTGTTTTAATCTTTCATAGAAAATGGCCAAAGCTGGGTTAGCATTCTCAGGCGGCGGAGTTCGGTCAGCGGCCTTCTGCTCTGGAGTCTTACGCAGACTGCTTCAGCGAGAGACCAACTTGGATTATCTGAGTTGCGTGTCAGGGGGAGGTTACACAGGCTCTGCTTACATGGACTGGAAGTACCGTCATGGCAAGCAAGACAGCAAAGACTGGCATTTCAAATTCTTTGACCATCTGCGCGAGCGGAGTGGGATTTTTTGCGACTGGCAGCGGCCTATACATGGAGTATTTGATTGTACAGTTCTTTTCTGTCTTCCAGTTTTCGTCACCCTTATTGTTCCATTTATTTTGTGGAGTGCTTACGCATGCCCTCTAGCTTTCGCTGTCGACTATTTAGCAGGGGATATCATTCGCGGCGGAATCATAACACATTGTGACAGCTCAGCGCTACTGGTGAACGAAACAGTCTCAGAATGCGAAGAGCGACGGGAGAGGAAAGCTATTGAAAGATTCCTTTTGTTTGGTGCTCCTCTTGTCTTAGCATTTGCTTCTTACTTCATCGCACCAATGTTACCTGGATTAAAAAACGCCTCCTCCTTCCTGACCACTTCGTTTGGAGTCATATTCGGCCTTGTGTTTCTGCCCTGGTTTTTTCATGACGTGCTCGAGTTCATACCTGATTGGATGAGAGTTCTGATCATTCTACCCACCGTGGTGCTTTGGTTTTCGTTTCCTGTGATGAGAAAAAACGCTACGCTCGTCGTAATTGTGTATTTCTACGCGTACGTAATTGTGTATAGGGTGTACAAGAAAAGCTTTAGTTTTTATCCTTACACGGACCACTTCTTTGCTCAGCAGTTGTGGGCTTCAGGGTTACTCTTGTGGATCTCACCCCTGATAGGAACGATACAACAGCGTCTGGGTCATGTCTACAACAGGTATGTGAATTGTATGTCTCCCTTTTCTCTCCCCTTTAGCTAGTACCATGAGATTAAAACATAATTATATCAAAATTTATGAGTACCTAAAAAGTTTTCATTTCACGTTTTCGCGGAATTGTACAGAAGCGATAGTTCCTTTTACTCGTTGATTATGAAATTAACGAAGTTCAATGAGGTGGAGCTCTAGCCTTTATGATGGTGCCGCCATCTAATCAATGCAAGCGCTTATTACGTATGAAATAATAACATGTTGCGTGCGCCCTTGTAAACAATCTCGCGCGCATGGGGATGGCACGTGGGCGTTTTAGTAAGCGTCTGTATCGCGTTGGCCTTAATTGGCCCATTGAGCATGTAACTCTAGATCTAAATACGCCGTTTGATCTTCTTTGAGTTGCAGGTGGCGGCTACAAAAAGCCTTGTTCACGCCAACCAGTCGAGGATTGTGTGGTTGTGCCGGCATTTCCTTCCGCAACTTTTTTCTCAGCTGCCCATATTTCGATCACAAACAGCGTGTTAACCTCGACCCTGAACGCCCGCTGACCTTGGAAGATCTTGAGAACGTCAAGCCTATCTTTATCAGCAATGCAGCGGTCAACCGATGGCGACGCACCACCTCCTCCACGGAACCCGACTACGAAGCACTTATCATGTCCCCCCAAGGGATTGAACGACTGGATCGACCTGCGCATGAGCGCGAGTTAGAAGGCAAGCTTATGCCGGAGGACATTTACTTGTCCGATGCCATGGCAACGTCAGCTGCTGCTGTTGATCATCACATGGGTGCCCTGGAAGGTGAAGAGATGTTTAAAGACCTGAAAGTCACCTTGGGAATTGCTATGGGTAACTCTGTTGTCAGCGACCCGAGGCATGTCAGGAAACTCAATATTTGCCTTCAGGTTGGTATAACTTTGTTCTTCCGAAAAAAGAATCAGGACAATCAATAACCGATGAGCGAAGTTTCGTGGGGTAATATCATATTTTGACACATACTTGAGTGTCCTTGATTCTTAGGACAGCAGAATTAAACGTTTAATGTGGTACGTGGTTTTTTTTTCAGATTCTTCCGTACTTCATCGAGATATTCAGAGTCTCTCCACTTTTGATATCATACGTTTTCTACCATAATTTTGGCAGTGACGACTATCTCACCTTTGGAGTATTTTGTTTCTTCTTGCTTCTGTTGCTGTTGACCGTAATCGCCTTGATACCTACGGGATCTGCTAATCCCAGCCGGGTGGAGAGGATGGCCAGGTTTGAATATGCCTTTTTTATCGTCACTAACAGTAATTTAATGTTCGCCTCTAAGGGTTTCACTCTCGTCGTGGAAGGACAACCTTTGGAGTATTTATTCGAGGGTATTACTATTCCTGTGTGTGCGCGTTTCTTTGAAATCCTTCCCTATATTGTACGAACGCCCCTACTCATGGTGATATGCATGTCCGCAACCCTGGCATTTAAGATGGGGATGGTGAATAAAAGGAGGGAACGTCTACTGCTGGCGCGCCTTGGTACCAGAAAAAAAGAATTTTATAATCTTTTGTTGTAGCATTTTAAAATAAACTCTTCCGACAAATTACTCGTAATAAGCGACAGCAAGAAGAACTTTCAACGTCTGGGTACCATCCGCGTCTAAAGACGTCTATGCTCCAGTTCCCTAATGACCGAAAGGCACGCAGGTATGCACTTGCTTTTAGTGCGCTTTGACCCTAACCAATAAGTTGAACAGCCAATATTGGCCAGCATTTTACACTAAAAGCCATACTGTTTTTTTTGTCAGATATTTTGCTGTCCACATACCTTACATCAGTTATGTTCGGAAAACAATCGGGATACTAAACCTTGGGTCCAGTCCTCCTCCTGTATTGCGTCTGAGTGATGGCGGCCATGTTGAAAACCTTGGAATCTTGCCTCTTCTGAGACTCAGACTGAAAAGGATCATCTCTGTTTATGGTGGATGTGCGGCTTCAGAACAAGCGTTTTGTAACACCTTGATGAACGCGCTCGAAATGGCCAGGAAAAAACTGAGATGTTCATTTACAGGAATGGATGGTCGAGACATCAATGAAGATATTCGAATAAACTTTGTGGAGAGAAGTTCCGGAAACCAACCTAGGAGTTACAGGTTTGTGACTTAGTTCTTGAGGTTCAGCTGTGTTGTATGTTGCGCGAAAACTCACTAATTTGAAATGTTGTTTAACCGCTTTCATGTGAGGTACTGCACGGAAGCCTCTCATTTCAAACTAGTTGGAAATACTTAGTGTTAGCTGAACAAAGTTTTTGGACCAATCAGCAAAATGTACTCAAGCGATTTTCCATTGAGACTTAACAATGACTGGGACCTGTGTTTTACCACCCCTCTGCTCTTGACAAGGAATGTGCGCGCCATTCCTTCGGCCATTCAGATGCAAAACTAAAAACAATGGCGACTGGCCAAGTCCCTTGACTCTTTCCGCGCTTCAAACAGTTTGTACGTTTTGATCTGAGTTCTAATTGGCTCCTTGTATTGTTTCCTTTTTTCTGACTGGAGCTTGTGAATGAGATATGCGTTTGGCTCAGCTTATGACAAGTCCTCCCCCACACCCGACACTTTTTCAAAATGTTCCACTGCCCTTCTGTTAAGTTTTGCCCAAAATCCCACGATCGAAACGCACTCTTAATTTTGCACCTTTAAAGAAACGCATTAGGCAATTCATAAAACCCACAGTTAAATCTGGAAAGAAGCTTCCTCGTCTTACAAGTCTGACAGTCTGCCAATATTTAAAGGAAAGATTTTATTGTCCTAAGGTTCAAAGTCCAATACTTTGACAAAGATCCAGAAGGGGACGGCGACCACATGGTCGGTGAGGCAGAGGTGCTTTTCATCGCTCCTAGACACCCTAATAAGGGAATTAAGATGACGCAACCTATGACGTGGAAGGAGGCGTTAAGTGACATTAACGAAAATCTTGACGAGGGCCATTGGGGAACTGGACCAGAGCTTCATGCTAAGGAGGTTGACAGGCTGACGTTCTGTTGCTGCGAGTCTTGTCATGGTGACGCTTGTAGGGGTTTTTCAGAGGGGATTTGTGGAGCATTTCCGCAGCATTCTACTTCGAACCAATTCTACACGCCAGCAATGTTTGCTGCTTATCATAGAGAAGGTTATCGCGCATGTTTGGAGGCAAAAGCCCCTGAATTTCTGAGCGAACAATCAGCTCAAGTGCTCAATGTAGATCACATTCGTGTAGAGAATGTTGACGAAACAAAGATCTAAGTAATACACACGATTTGTGGTGTTTGGTTGAAAGAAACAATCAGCACTAGATTGCTGTTTTAAAGTTGATGAAAAAAATGCACAATATTTTTTTAAAAAGGCTTGTTAGGGTGAGAATTTTTGGGCTCAAGATCAGTCATTGATCAAGAGCTCGAGTGAGCAAAAAACGTTGTAGACTTAAAGTTATGTTATGTGAAATTTTTAGTGGAGATTTGGAAACTTTTCCCGGCTGAAAACGTTTTAGACTTAAGTTTTATTATTTGCAATTCTTAGTAAAGATTTCGAGCCTTTCTCCAGCTGTAGCGAGTTACGGCGGCAGTACAGTGGAATGTAATAAAGGACAGGACTATGGAAGGAATTACGATGCGACGTAATGTAAACGTTATGCGATATATAAGTGTTTTTTTTAAGATACGTTCTTGCGCCTTCTCCAGTTTTTTTCGGTATCATTATCTAAGGTTGGTTACCCTTTGTAACAGCCGTTTTCGAAGCCGAGACGGAGCATAAGGCCGACGACTTTGAAGAGTAAAATCTCCCCGATGTTGACCATCGAAACGCGTCCATTTTGGCTGTACAGCTATATCCTTTGGAAAGTAGTGTAAAGAAAAACCCAGTGTATGTGTATTATTCTTACGGCTAACATCATTTGACGCTCCGGCCACGCAATAAGTTCGTCCTATTCACAGTTTTTTGCCGTCACAGCTGTGTAACATGCATGATCGTTTAAGCCGCGGGTTGAATGGGAACCCTTTTTGGCCGCGAAATTGTACTTTCAATGCGTAAAAAATGGTCAAGGAGAACTCGCTTGGCGCTAAGGTCGATCATTTCAAATTCTAACTACAGCTATCAACCAGAAGACGCAAAAAAAAAATAAAAAAATTGGTGTCATAGGCACTTAAAGACCTCGTTCATAATTCTGCTGAAATCTTGCTCACCCAATACTGCCGCCATAATAATGTTGGCAAGAAGAATGGCGAAAATGAGGAATCGTGGAATCATCTTTATGGAGATGTGACTCTTCTGAAAGATTTTACGAATAAGAGTTGCGGTCTGTTAGCTGTGGAAATTTCTCACGAGAGACCAAGAAATCACACTTTTTCCAGCTGTCTTTGTCAAAGGTGCAATATTGCAAACAGTTCCTCGTCGAATGAGTAAACTTCATTTCCTAACAAATAATAATTAACTCGCATTTGGAAAAGAACAAAAGTCCGAAAACTACCTAACTATTTCCCTGTTTTCGTGGCAACATGTTTTATAAAAAAGAACAACGCACGAATCTCGTTTTTCCAATCTAAAGCTAAGTAAAATTCCTGTAACTCATGCATGTGCGAGAGGAGGATTTGACTGATATTTGACTGATGTTTTAATCGTTAAAACTTTTTCAATGGTTCCGTCATATGAGTAACTCCTCATCAACACATTGTTTTAGCCAAGTTAGGATAATAAATCGCCCAGAAGTAAATTTTGAGGCTACAAATATGCCGCGAAAAATATTTTTAGGCCCATATCGTTTGGTCAGAAATCTATTTTGATGTTACGATGGTTTTTGTATGAGAGGACTATTTACCCTTTTGGCACAGACCGCTAGTTTGATAGATAAGTTTAATGTCAAAATTTGTACGTAAGTCTGTGAAATTTTTTTTGGAGCATTCAATCCCAAATTTTTCCAGCCCTGTTTATAAGTACTAATGATTGATTCATAAATCAAATTAACTTCTCGGCTTTGACGTTATTTTCTCAGCCGATCGCTTGTGTTTGACTAAACCATCTGATGATAATATTATTTACATTTCATTTATATTATTCTTCATTTTGAAAAAAGATTTTTCGTTTAAGGGCCTTTTTTAAGGGAATTTCAATATTTCCGTCCTTTGTGACTTCAGTTATTCTAACTGTAAGGAAAATTTGGTGGACCCATTCACTCCCAAAATTTAATTAGTAATTCTCCTTACTGTTTTTCATACAATTCTTTCATTGTTAGTTCGAAAACTTTGATATTGGATCAAGCAGTGATTCCCTAATTGATATTTATTCCGCTTCTCATGCATGACACGTCTGCTTAATCATTATTTCCCCTATTTTGAAAGGAGAATTCTGTCTTGGTCACTCGGGTGTTAATAACGACAGAGTAATTTATAGTGAATGTCGAAAGTAATTCACGATAACATTGTTTCTGCTCAACTTCCCTCTGTAATTAGTCCAGGAAACTTGTGTCATCCTTAACCAATCAAAAGAAATGCTAAAACCCATAGCGACTTGGTCACTCTCGTCATCAATCCGCTCTCTTTTAGACTGGACGACTGATATCATATATGTAAATAAAGTACAGATTCTCCATTTGACATAAGTTTTATCTTTATTGAACATGAACATGAGGTCGTGTTCTTGAAATTACCCAAGTTTTCTTGTGAGCCTGTAAATAGAAAGTAAAATCAGAGATTATTTTCAATTTTATTTTGGTTAGTTCTCCCAAACGTCTTTTTCAAAGTTAAATGTCATTTCATCTTAAATCTCTTTCGTCGCGGAATTTTGAGCTTAAATGTTTGGCTAACAATTGATTGACATCACTTACCTCGCATAGAAATCGAAAAACGAATGAGATAACTGTTATAGTTTAAATCTATCAGTCGTTCAAAACAGTCAACAAGACAGGTCAATGTTTTTATTTTCTTTAGTTTACAAACGCACACTCTACGGCCACTCCTTCCCTCACTTTTTATCACGGAAGATATGAAGCGTAACGTAACCATTCAGATTACTACCTACTTCTCCTTAAAGGGATTGTAACATATATGTGCATGTTATTTTTCTTACTTTGAGCGGCCCTATTTATGATACACCTCAACTGTTTTAACGTTGCACTCGTCCGGTTTCTCTTTACAAAAAAACGGAGGGATGTAGGGCGCGGTTGCCAAATTCATGAAATTTACTTTAACGCTTTGCAGGACATTGGGATCGTTGATGTCACCATCAAAGAAATAACCAGGGAGATTATTTAACTTCAATATGGATGGATTTGCTGTCCCTGCAAATAAACAAGGAGGAAAGAAATTGAAGTGAAATTGACTCTGTAGCTGTTATCATTTCCGAAAACATTGGTAGTATATTAACTTTCAAAATGAAGGGATACCTTGTTATATTGTGGAGAAGCAAACAAAGCAATACATATATTTTGTGTATGCTTTTTGTCATCAGGCATCTGATAGAAACTGCTTTGACTTATTTAGGAGAGGTGCTTAAACAGTCATGGTATTTTAACATTGTTTTTATTGAATATGTTTTTTCAGTGTTTCTTAATGAATTGACAATCCCTGAAAATTGTTGATACATCGAACAAGTGAGCCTTAGTGTTGTTTACAGCCGATTCTTGGAGGACTGGGGTGCACAACCAACATGTGTAGCAGTTTCTCCAGTCTAGGATCCAAGACTTTAACTTTACTTTATATAACATGATTCATATTCGACTCGTTTTTTATATCCCTTGAGTAAAATTTGTCCCTAAGATATTTCATATTGAGAGCGGAAATATAGACAGGGGATTCCTGTTGTGAATATATGACTTGAATTAGTAATAGTAATACCCTATTTTTTTTGTAAATTCTCATTCTCCGGGCTTCTTGACATTCTCAAAGATTTTGCACTAAATCTCCCCCTTCTCAGTTGATAAACTTTTCTTGTTCATACTTCCACGTTTATCAATTCAAAGGGTTTTAAAATACCCCGGAAACGTCAGGTCAATCCTTTGGCAACAAACTTACTTGAGCAATTAGGCCATGGAAGTTGTGTGCTGTACGGTAAGTTGGGGAGTCCATAAAAATGCCATTGGCCACTTGAACAGTAGTACAGTAAAGGGGGGTTGAAAGTGAAGTCGAAGTCATTTTGGCACATCGCAGCGCAAACATATTCTACACCAAACTTGTTGCACGCCAGAGCTCCGTTTTGAGGAGGATCGAACATGGGGCACTCCTTTCCTGTTGACAACAAAAGAAAGAAAAAATATTTAAAATCATTGTAGCAAAGAAGACGCCGACCTTTAAAATGCCGCCCTACCAGTCCAGTAAGTAGAAATTTCGCATTTTCTTAACCTTCTATTTTCGAATTGTAGACATAATTAATAGATGTAAAATGTAGTAAAGATGTCGAATTTTAGATTTTTCGGTTAGTCAAGGTATAACTCATACTCCGATAACAGGCAGCATAATGCTGCACAAAAGCGGTTTTTCTCTCCTATATATTTCAGTTACTGAACCTGTTGATCATGAATTCTAATGGCCTGGGTTCGAGTAAACCTAAAAAGGACTGATGTTGGGAACGGTGATTGATGTTATGACATCGTTAGCAGAAACCATCATTAGAGTCAAGGGTTACTATTAGACTTCAGCTAAGCTTCTCGTTGTCAGTCATTGTTACCGAGAACACCCATATCGGGAATACTTTCACCTGGACAACGAAAGCACGTAATCAACTGTTACTTCCAAATTCTAACCTTTTCTTTTACTTAATTAGATCATCTTGAGAAATTGTTTATTCAAATGCAAGAGCTTCAGCTTACGTTTTAGAGTGATCCTGAAGCTACAAGTGGCTCTATTACCAGCGGAATCTGTCGCCGTACAAACAACTTCAGTTGTACTGGGAACACTGAATATGTCTCCATTTTGCTTGTTGCATGTTATGTAGGGCTTCACACCAGAATCGTCAGTTGCTGTAGGTGCAGACCAGTGAACGCGGGTCTCAGGCTCTGTGATTTCTTTCATTGTGATGCACTTTGGGCAATACGTAAAAACCGGCGCTTGATGGTCTGAAACGATAATGAGAACAAAATATAACGTTTGTAATCAGCGATGAGTGGGATTCAGCATTTCATATGATAGTTTTAGCCCCTCGTCGACAGTTCTAAAGCAAATCAAAACGTCTTAAATTAACGTCTTCATAAGGTTCAACAACTAAATAAATATTCTTAAAAACAACTTTTTGTACAATAAGTTGTAATGCGCTTCTCCCATCTTCTTTATTCAAGATGACGAGATGGAGATCTCTTACCCGCTGACACTATCGTAAGTAAAGCGAGAATAGCTTTCAAAATGAAATACTGGGAAATCATGGCGCAGAAACGTCTCTAAGTGATACGATTGCGGTGAGATGCTCAAGCAAATTAACGCTTCAGGAAAAAGACAGTCGTGTAGCGATGTTAAAGGAACTATGGGATTGTGGGATTGTTTACGCAGCTGTCTTTGCCTGATTTGGTCACAGGTGCGATTTTTCCGTCGACCCTTCAATTTAGGGGAATAAAGTAAACTCAATCAATGGCAAGAAACCAATTAACTATCGATTACTAATTTCACGAGAGTAAACTGAGACTTTTCGGATTATGCATCATCCATTTTTGCAAATAATGAACGCATAAAATTGATAGCAGCAAGGAATCGGACTGATTAGAAACGCTATTAAAATATTTTAAACTTCACGGACAGGAAGCCAGTCGCGTTGGCAGAATCTGAAAGTAGTTAATAACCCAAGTTAGACTTAGTGTATTCTCACTAACTAAAGACATTGGACAGTCCGCTGAAACCAATTTTACATTTAAACTGGTCTCCACTTTGTAGTTAAAGTCAAGCAGACACAGGTTGAGAACAATAGCGCTTAGACAAAACTTCCTTAACACAACTGCGAAAACTCCTGTTGAAAACTATATAGATTATTGGATTAATGGCACCATTTAAGAACAGCATTAGAAGAGCAATGAAACGGAAATGTCGAGTTTCACTGTAAACCACATAGAAGTCAAGCGCGAAAGACAATGAAAGGGTTAGAATCGGCAAGGAACAGGCATAAAATGCGTCTATCAGAGTTATTAACATCTTGAAAATCTCACGATTTCGCTTCTCTCTCAATGCGCGAGCTCTTTCACTCGCGTTGTTGAGGAAGTTTCGACGCCAAAGTTGAATCCGATGGCTGCGTACAATACCAGCATGGCAAGAAGTGTCGTGATGATCAGAATTACGTCAAAACCTGCATAGTAAAACAGTCCCAGAATGCGAGGAGCGGAACGGAGAAAAAAAAGAAAGATTTAATTATCCCAAGGTTCAAAAGGAGTGAACGAATACTGCTGGCGCACCTTGGTAACAAATTACTTGTAATAAGCGACAGCAAAAAGAACTTTCAACGTCTGGGTACCATCCGCATCTAAAGACGTCTATGCTCTTGTTCCCTAATGAGCAAAAGGCACGCACGTATGCACTTGCTTTTAGTGCGCTTTGACCCTAATCAATAAGTTGAACAGCTAATATTGGCCAGTGTTTTACACTAAAAGCCATACACACCACAGGTGAAAGATCTGTCGCCTCTGAGTTCTAGAAAAGTTTCGATGAAGATTTTCAAAATTTGTTATGGAGAGGAAAGTCGTTTTGTGATCAGTGCTGTTTTTTTTCGTCAGATATTTTGCTGTCCACATACCTTACATCAGTTATGTTCGGAAAACACTCGGGATACTAAACCTTGGGCCCAGTCCTCCTCCTGTGTTGCGTCTGAGTGATGGCGGCCATGTTGAAAACCTTGGAATCTTGCCTCTTCTGAGACTCAGACTGAAAAGGATCATCTCTGTTTATGGAGGATGTGCGGCTTCAGAGCAAGCGTTTTGTAACACCTTGATGAACGCGCTCGAAATGGCCAGGAAAAAACTGAGATGTTCATTTACAGGAATGGATGGTCGAGACATCAATCAGTGAAGACATTCGAATAAACTTTGTGCAGAGAAGTCCCGGAAACCAACCTAGGAGTTAAAGGTTGGTGACTTAGTTTTTAAGGTTCAGCTGTGTTGTATGTTGCACGAAAACTCACTAATATGAAGTGTTGTTTAACCGCTTTCATTTGAGATGCTGCGCACAAACGTCTCATTTCAAACTAGTTGGAGATACTTAGTATTAGCTGAACAAAGCTTTTGGACCAATCAGAAAAATGTAGTCAAGCGGTTTTTTTCATTGAGACTTAACAGTGACTGGGACTGGTGTTTTACTACCCCTCTGTTCTTGGCGAGGAATGTGCGCGCCATTCCTCCGGCCATTCAGATGCAAAACTAAAAACAATGGTGACCTGCTAAGTCCCTTACCTCTTTCCGCGCTTCAAACAGTTTGTACGTTTGAGTTCCAATTGGCTCCTAAGATATGCGTTTGGCTTAGTTTATGATAAGTCCCCCCCCACCTAACACTTTTTCAAATTGTTCCTCTGCACCTTTGTTAAGTTTTGCCCAACATCCCACAATCGAAACGCACTCTTTAGTTTGCACGATTAAAGAAACACTTTAGGCAATTCGTAAAACCTACAGTTAAATCTGGAAAGAAGCTTGCTCGTCTTACAAGTCTGACAGTCTACCAATATTTAAAGGAAAGATTTTATCATCCCAGGGTTCAAAGTCCAATACTTTGACAAAGATCCAGAAGGAGATGGCGACCACATGGTCGGTGAGGTAGAGGTGCTTTTCATTGCTCCTAGACACCCTAATAAGGGAATTAAGATGACGCAACCTATGACGCGGAAGGAGGCATTAAGTGACATCAACGAAAATCTTGACGAGGGGCATCGAGGAACTGGACCAGAGCTTCATGCCAAGGAGGTCGACAGGCTGACGTTCTGTTGCTGCGAGTGTTGTCATGGTGACGCTTGTAGGGGTTTTTCAGAGGGGATTTGTGGAGCATTTCCGCAGCATTCTACTTCGAATCAATCCTACACGCTAGTAATGTTTGCTGCTTAACATAGAGAAGGCTATCGCGCATGTTTGGAGGCAAAAGCCGCTGAATTTCTGAGGGAACAATCAGCTCAAGTGCTCAATGTAGATCACATTCGTGTAGAGAATGTTGACGAAACAAAGATCTAAGTAATGCACACAATCTGTGCTGTTTGGTTAAAAGAAACAATCAGCACTAGATTGCTGTTTTAAAGTTGATTGAAAAAACTGCTTAATATTTTTTTTTTAAAAAAGCTTGTTAGGGTGAGAATTTTTGGGCTCAAGATCAGTCATTGATCAAGAGCTCGAGTTAGCATAAAACGTTGTGGACTTTTAGTTGTATTATGTGAAATTTTTAGTGAAGATTTGGAAACTTTCCCCGGCTGAAAACCGTTTTAGACTTAAGTTATATTATTTGCAATTATTAGTGAAGATTTGGAGCCTTTCTCCAGCTGTAGCGAGTTGCGGTAGCAGTACAGTGGAATGCAATAAAGGACAGGACTATGGAAGGAATTACCATTCAACGTAAATGTTATGCGATATATCAGAGTGTTTTTTTAAGATGCGTTCTTACACTTCTCCATTTTTTTCCGTATTATTATCTAGGGTTGGTTACCCTTTGTAACAGCCGTCTTCAAAGCCGAGACGGAGTATAAGGCCGACGACTTTGAAGAGTAAAATCTCCCAGATGTCGACGATCGAAATGCGTCCATTTTGGCCGTATAGCTACATCCTTTGGAAAGTAGTATATAGAATAACCCAGTGTATGTGTATTATTCCTGTAGCTTACATCATTTGGCGCTCCTGCCACGCAATACGTTCGTCCTCTCCTCTTGATTTCTTCTTTACTACCATAGTTGCCGACATGTCTTCACAGTTTTCTGCCGTCACAGCTGTGTAACATGCTTGATCGTTTGAGCCGCACGTTGAATGGGATACTTTCAATGCGTAAAAAATGGTCAAGGAAAAGTCACTTGGCGCTAAGGTCGATTATTTTAAATTCTGAATACAGCTATCAACAAGAAGACGCTAAAAAAATGTTGTGTCATAGACACTTAAGACCTCATAAACTGTGTAATTCTTGCTGAAAGCTTGCTTACCTTGTACTGCCGCCATAACAACGTTGGCAAGAAGAATGGCGAAATGATGAATCGTGGAATCATCTTTATGGAGATGTAACTCTTCTAAAAGATTTGACCAATAGGAGTTGCAGTTTGTTAGCTGTGGAAAGTTCTTACAAGAGACCGAGAAATCAGACTTTTTCCAGCTGTCTTTGTCAAAGGTGCAATATTACAAACAGTTCTTCGTCGGATGAGTGAACTTTATTTCCTAACAAATAATTTTCAACTTGCATTTGGAAAAGAACAAAAGTCCCGGAAAACTAAATAACTATTTCCCTATTTTCGTGGCATCATATTTTCTTGAAAAGAACAACGCACAAATCACGTATTTCCAATCTAAAGCCAATTAAAATTCCTGTAAGTCATGTATGTGCGAGAGGAGGATTTGAATGATATTTGACTGATGTTTAAATCATTAAAACTTTTTCAACGGCACGTCATATGAGTAACTCCTCCTCAACACATTGTTTTCGCCAATTCAAGATAATAAATTTCCTAGAAATAAATTTTGAGGCTACAAGTCATGCATGTGCGAGAGGAGGATTTGACTGATATTTGACTGATGTTTAAATCATTAAAACTTTTTCAACGGTTCCGTCATATGAGTAACTCCTCATCAACACATTGTTTTAGCCAACGCACGAATCACGTATTTCCAATCTAAAGCTAATTAAAATTCCTGTAAGTCATGCACGTGCGAGAGGAGGATTTGACTGATATTTGACTGATGTTTAAATCATTAAAACGTTTTGAACGGTTCCGTCATATGGGTAACTCCTCATCAACACATCGTTTTAGCCAAGTTACGATAATAAATCGCCCAGAAGTAAATTTTGTGGCTACAAATATGCCACGAAAAATATTTTCAGGCCCATATCGTTTGGTCAGAAATCCCTTTAGATGTTACAATGGTTTTTGTATGAGAGGACTATTTACCCTTTTGGCACAGGCTGATAATTGATAGATAAGTTTAATGTTCAAAATTTGTACGTAAGTCTGTGAAAATTTTTTTGGAGCATTCAATCCCAAATTTTTGCAGCCCTGTTTATAAGTACTAATGATTGATTCATAAATCAAATTAACTTCTCGGCATTGACGTTATTTTCTCAGCCGATCGCTTGTGTTTGACTAAACCATCTGATGATAATATTATTTACATTTCATATGTATTATTCTTCATTTTGAAAAAAGATTTCTCGTGTAAGGACCTTTTTTAAGGGAATTTCAATATTTCCGTCCTTTGTGACTTCAGTTATTCTAACTGTAAGGAAAATTTGGTGGACCCATTCACTCCCAAAATTTAATTAGTAATTCTCCTCACTGTTTTTCATACAATTCTTTCATTGTTAGTTCGAAAACTTTGATATTGGATCAAGGAGTGATTCCCTAATTGATATTTATTCCGCTTCTCATGCATGACTCGTCTGCTTAATCATTATTTCCTCAATTTTGAAAGGAGAATTCTGTCTTGGTCACTCAGGTGTTAATAACCACAGAGTAATTTATAGTGAACGTCGATAGTAATTCACGATAACATTGTTTCTGCTCAACTACCCTCTGTAATTAGTCCAGGAAACTCGTGTCATTCTTAACCAATCAAAAGAAATGCTAAAACCCATAGCGACTTGGTCACTCTCGTCATCAATCCGCTCTCTTTTAGACTGGACGACTGATATCATATATGTAAATAAAGTACAGATTCTCCATTTGACATAAGTTTTATCTTTATTGAACATGAACATGAGGTCGTGTTCTTGAAATTACCCAAGTTTTCTTGTGAGCCTGTAAATAGAAAGTAAAATCAGAGATTATTTTCAATTTTATTTTGGTTAGTTCTCCCAAACGTCTTTTTCAAAGTTATCCGTCATTTCATCTTAAATCTCTTTCGTCGCGGAATTTTGAGCTGAAATGTTTGGCTAACAATTGATTGACATCACTTACCTCGCATAGAAATCGAAAAACTAATAAGATAACTGTTATAGTTTAAATCTATCAGTCGTTCAAAACAGTCAACAACAAGACAGGTCAATGTTTTTATTTTCTTTAGTTTACAAACGCACACTCTACGGCCACTCCTTCTCTCACTTTTTATCACGGAAGATATGAAGCGTAACGTAACCATTCAGATTACTACCTACTTCTCCTTAAAGGGGTTGTAACATATATGTGCATGTTATTTTTCTTACTTTGAGCGGCCCTATTTATGATACACCTCAACTGTTTTAACGTTGCACTTGTCCGGTATCTGTTTACAAAAAAGCGGAGGGATGTAGGGCGCGGTTGCCAAATTCATGAAATTTACTTTAACGCTTTGCAGGACATTGGGATCGTTGATGTCACCATCAAAGAAATAACCAGGGAGATTATTTAACTTCAATATGGATGGATTTGCTGTCCCTGCAAATAAACAAGGAGGAAAGAGATTGAAGTGAAATTGACTCTGTAGCTGTTATCATTTCCGAAAACATTGGTAGTATATTAACTTTCAAAATGAAGGGATACCTTGTTATATTGTGGAGAAGCAAACAAAGCAATACATATATTTTGTGTATGCTTTTTGTCATCAGGCATCTGATAGAAACTGCTTTGACTTATTTAGGAGAGGTGCTTCAACAGTCATGGTATTTTAACATTGTTTTTATTGAATATGTTTTTTCAGTGTTTCTTAATGAATTGACAATCCCTGAAAATTGTTGATACATCGAACAAGTGAGCCTTAGTGTTGTTTACAGCCGATTCTTGGAGGACCAGGGTGCACAACCAAAATGTGTAGCAGTTTCTCCAGTCTAGGATCCAAGACTTTAACCTTACTTTATATAACATGATTCATATTCGACTCGTTTTTTATATCCCTTGAGTAAAATTTGTCCCTAAGATATTTCACATTGAGAGCGGAAATATAGACAGGGGATTCTGTTGTGAATATATGACTTGAATTAGTAATAGTAATACCCTATTTTTTTTGTAAAAATATTACTCATTCTCCGGGCTTCTTGACACTCTCAAAGATTTTGCACTTTTTTGGTTTCGTACCCGCGTACAACTCTTTATGATATGAATCTCCCCCTTCTCAGCTGATAACCTTTTCTTGTTCGTACTTCCACGTTTATCAATTTAAAGGGTTTTTAAAATACCCCGGAAACGTCAGGTCAGTCCTTTGGCAACAAACTTACTTGAGCAATTAGGCCATGGAAGTTGTGTGCTGTGCTGTATTCCAAAAAAATTCCATTGGCCACTTGAACAGAGATACAGTAAAGGGGGGTTGAAAGTGAAGTCGAAGTCATTTTGGCACATCGCAGCGCAAAGATATTCTACACCAATCTTGTTGCACGCCAGAGCTCCGTTTTGAGGAGGATCGAACATGGGGCACTCCTTTCCTGTTGACAACAAAAGAGAGAAAAAATATAAAATCATTGTAGCAAAGAAGACGCCGACCTTTAAAATGTCGCCCTTCCAGTCCAGTAAGTAGAAATTTCATATTTTCTTAACCTTCTATTTTCGAATTGTAGACATAATTAATATTAATTATTATTAATATTAATTAATCCATTTCATTAATGGATGTAAAATATAGTAAAGATGTCGAATTTTAGATTTTTCGGTTAGTCAAGGTGTAACTCATACTCCGATAACAGGCAGCATAATGCTGCACAAAAGCGGTTTTTCTCTCATATATTTTCAGTTACTGAATCTGTTGATCATGAATTCTAATGGCCTGGGTTCGAGTAAACCTAAAAGGGACTGCTGTTGGCAACGGTGATTGATGTTATGACATCGTTAGCAGAAACCATCATTAGAGTCAAGGGTTACTATTAGACTTCAGCTAAGCTTCTCGTTGTCAGCTATTGTTACCGAGAACAGACATATCGGGAATACTTTCACCTGGACAACGAAAGCACGCAATCAACTGTTACTTCCAAATTCTAACCTTTTCTTTTACATAATTAGATCATCTTGATAAATTGTTTATTCAAATGCAAGAGCTTCAGCTTACGTTTTAGAGTGATCCTGAAGCTACAAGTGGCTCTATTACCAGCGGAATCTCTCGCCGTACAAACAACTTCAGTTGTACTGGGAACAGGGAATAAGTCTCCACTTGGCCTGCTGCATATTATTTCAGGCTCCTCACCAGAATCGTCAGTTGCTTTAGGTCTAGACCAGTCAACGTGGATCTCATGCTCTGTGATTTCTTTCATTGTGATGCACTTTGGGCAATACGTAAAAACCGGCGCTTGATGGTCTGAAACGATGATATGAACAAAATATAACGTTTGTAATTAGCGATGAGTGGGAGTCAGCATTTCATATGATAGTTTTAGCCCCTCATCGACAGTTCTAGAACAACTCAAAACGTCTTAAATTAACGTCTTCATAAGGTTCAACAACTACATAAATATTCTTGAAAAACAACTTTTTGTATAATAAGTTGTAATGCGCTTCTCCCATCTTCTTTATTCAAGATGACGAGATGGAGATCTCTTACCCACTGATGCTATCGTAAGTGAAGCGAGAATAGCATTCAAAATGAAATACTGGAAAATCATGGCGTAGAGAGGTCTCTAAGTGATACGATTGCGGTGAGATGCTCAAGCAAATTAACGCTTCAGGAAAAAGACAGTCGGGAAGCGATGTTAGAGGAACTATAGGATTGTGGGATTGTTTACGCAGCTGTCTTTGCCTGATTTGGTCACAGGTGCGATTTTTCCGTCGATCCTTCAATTTAGGGGAATAAAGTAAACTCAATCAATGGCAAGAAATGAATTAACTATATATCGATTACCAATTTCACGAAAGTAGACTGATATGTTTCAGATTATGCGTCATCCATTTTTGCAAAATAATGAACGCATAAAATTGATAGCAGCAAGGAATCGGACTGATGAGAAACGCCACTAAAATATTTTAAACTTCACGGAAGGGAAGTCAGCCACGTTGGCAGAATCTGAGAGTAGTTAATAACCCAATTATTTCATTTTTAAGGCTAAACCTCTTAGTTAAACACAGCTGTTATTGTTAACATGGATAAACGTTGGGCTTAATCGTCTTTAAAGGCAACATTGAATACCTATAACTTTCCGAAAAATGATGCAGAAAAAAGAAAAATATTTAACTCCGGTCTGTGTCAGAAAAAAAAAATAACATAGCCCTTATGATAAGGAGGAAGGGTGTCTGGATATCTGTTGCTAAGACGTGTTACAATTTTAATTTGCTTTGTTTTTATTGTTTGTTTTTTTCTTACTATTCTTGTTTTAATGTTTTGATGTGGGTAAAATTCGCAAAGCCCTCTCACATATCGATTGGGAAATCAGTGTCGTTATTTTTGCCCCTCTTTCTTTATTATCATGGGTCAAAGCGCTTCGCTGCCTCTTTATGAGGTAGAAAAACAATCATCATCATTGGTCTGCGTCGGCAATTTCCCTGGAAGTGTCCTGTCGGGTCATCTACATCAGCAAATTCCCAGTTCGTCCTTGGCTCTTTGTTGAACAGACCTCTTGGCTGATAAGACTGGGATGTTAGCTTTTGAACAGAGATACCTGTTACAAGGGATCAGAACGAAGTGTTTTTTTTTTTTTACATGATAACCTAAATTATACAAGCATTGTGATTGGTGCTCTGTTATTATCTATAGGAGGTCGCACGCATAGATGATGCTTTCTATTTAAAACAGTTGCCCCTTTATTCTTATTTAGGTCATTATTTATTTATTGAAGACATCTGACATCTATTACAGAACAGACGCATTTATCTATTCATAAAAAAGCTCTTTATTTAAGAGAAAATTCTAGGAAAAGACTTCTTTAGCAATACATCAAATTTTCTAAACCTAAGTAAAGGATTCTTTAGCGTCCTTTGTAGCAGCCACCAGTTGGAGTGACATGACTTAGCATGTTCTCACTAACTAAAGACATTGGACAGTCCGCTGAAACCAATTTTACTTTTGAACTGGTCTCCACTATGTAATTAAAGTCAAGCAGACACAGGTTGACAACAATAGCGCTTAGACAAAACTTCCTTAACACAACTGCGAAAACTCCTGTTGAAAACTATATAGATTATCGGATTAATGGCCCCATTTAAAAACAGCATTAGAAGAGCAATGAAACGGAAATGTCGAGTTTCACGGTAAACCACATAGAAGTCAAGCGCGAAAGACAATTGAAGGGTTAGAATCGGCAAGGAACAGGCATAAAATGCGACTATTAGAGTTATTAACATCTTGAAAATCTCACGATTTCGCTTCTCTCTCAATGCGCGAGCTCTTTCACTAACGTTGTTGGGGAAGTTTCGACGCCAAAGCTTGAATCCGATGGCTGCGTACAAAACGAGCATAGCAAGAAGCGTCGTGAAAAGAATTACGGCGAAGCCTGCATAGAAAATTTTTATGACTTGATCCTTGAGACTACAGATTGTGATGCCCTCGTTGCTGATGAATTTTGCGAAATGAAATATCGGCAAAGCAAACAGAGCTGGTACCAGCCATGTCAGAAAAATAATAAAGAAGCAGGTCTTCCGCGTGATAATTTTTCGTAGAGGAAAGAACACCACGCAAAGACGATAAATTGCGATAGCCAGAATTGTCAGGTTTGCAGTTACCATGGTAATGACAGAAAGGAACATGTCTATCTTACAAAGAACTGTTCCAAAGTTTCCCTGTAGAATCCAGTGGCCGTTCAGCACTAGATTATTGTACGCATGCGGGATATTTTGAATAGCAAAGAAAATATCCGCCACAGAAATATTTGCAATGAATAAGCTGTTGGCATTCCTCATGTGACTTCGTCTGAAGTTCTTTTTCAGAACGAGCACAACCATAGCGTTTTCAAGGAGAGATACCGCAAGAACAGACATGCAAAGTGTGGCTTTCGCTATTGCTTCGGTTTTTCTTTCATGAACAGGCGATGAATCACTAGCGTTTTCCATTTCCAAGAAATATTTGTTAAACGCCTTAGTTTTCCCGTCGAAACTAGGTCATGAAATGAGATTTGGTTAGGAGTGAAACGTGCAAGCGCATACAAACCCTTTTTGAGGGCGCCTGCGGCTGTCTAAATATTGATTGACATAACCGAAAAGTCACTCCTGCATTTTCACTTCATTTCCATAAGTTCTATAGCACGAGGACAAAGACAGCCATTGTTTTTAATTAAAAAGGAATTTTGAACCGAAGTGGTAGTCGCTCTAAAGTAAGATTTCCGTTTGTTTGGAGTTCAGTTTATTAAGAATCTGTCAGAAAAGACAATTACAGCAAGCTGAGAAGGAAGAATCTTTACCCGGCCATTTTCAGGACGAATATAGCAAATTCACCGCATGAAGCGTATTTTATCACTGAAAACGACAGACAATTGGGATTGGGAAGTTTTAAGGGATTGAAAGCTTTTGACTCAAGGACGTGATCCATAACAAGCTTTTCCGTTTGTTGAGTTCCCACGTGTGACGTACTTTGGCGGTTAATTATTTTTTATATTTGTTTTATCCGTAGAATGTTGGCGCTATTATGAGCCAAGTTACAAAACCGAGAAGTAATATTGTTGTATAACATATTTTAGTTCACAGGAAGTTGACAGAATATTTCAATGAAACATGTTGTGATACTTTTAAAATGACTTTCGGCGGTATCGCTGGGATTCACGTTCAAGTTAACTTCAAAAGAGGATCTAGACAGTTGGAGAAAAGGCATAGATAGACAAGTAAAACCAAACATCGTAGAATGAATTGAAAAGTCGTTGTGATAATGATGTGGACTGCAGCTTGCATCAAACAAAACGGACGCTGGAAGGGCTAACAACGGTACGTGCGTACACAATATAAGATAATCATTTACTCTTGAGGGCATAATAGCTGCATGCAGAATCCAAGAATTGAAAAACAAACCATAAAAAAATGATGACGACAGTGTCCATGCACTAGACAATGAAAGTTGATAGAAAAGAGGACTTGGCGGAAACTGCGACATTAAATAAAAAATCAGCTGCTGTTCAGAGCAGAATTCTGTCGCCGAGAATGCTTTTGGAAGATTATTTTTAGCAAGCATTTCTAGCAAGACACGAGACACAGTATTACGACGAGTATTTATCTATGGTGATCCAAGATGTTATCTACAAGTGCTTTTTATTTTTATCTTCACCAAATTCTCCACCTTTTGTGTTCGTTATAATGTCTTGTGGAACAGTATGTAGAGAGAGTCCTGTCAGATAAACCTTTGCACTCACGGAACAATCATTTTGCCCTGTTGAACACGCACACATCAGTTAAGGTGAAACTCCACGTAAGATTGCATCAATTACGCAGAAAAAGAAGATCAGTAGAGAGAAGCGCTATTTTAGATGCCCTTGCTCGTGAAAATGTGATAAAGCACGAAACAGGAACAATTCTGCCTTTGAACGCAAGCAAAATCACTTAAGGTGAAAATCCATGCAAGATTGTATCTAAATACCCATAATGATTTATTACTGAACTCAAATTATTAAAACAAAACAGTAAATAGAAATTACCAGTATATTTTAACGTGAACTAAGTATTTGCTCAAAAGTTTAATTTATTCGAAAGTTTTATTTTAAATGGTCGAATTAGGTTTGTCAGCTGACTAGTGAAAAAACACTGTCTGCAATATTGCCTTTCACTGACAGGTGCTAAAAAATAGGAGGGAAGATAGATCAGCTATCAACAGCGGAAGTATTCGTCTTTATTCCCTCAAAAGAGTCCCTTTTTTAACCCAGATATCATGTAATATAACGACTTGCAGCCTCGCCCACGGAAGCTTTTTAAAGAATCACTTCTTTCCGTCCTGTTGAAATGATCGATTTTGTCACTAAGATCAATGATAAAAGTTGACTGATAAAAAAGATGAAAATTACCGGAAAATAGCCCAGAAGCTCAAAACTCGTATTATTTTGGTAGAACTGAGGTACTTGAATAAAATAAATTTTTGATAATCTTGATCATTTTTAACTTGATCATTTTTAACAACTCGCTCTTGCGCATGCGCAAGAGCGAGTTGTTGATACGATGTGGGGAATGGCACTCGCTCGCTCGCTCGCTCGCTCGATTGGTCGATTCCTGTAAACTTTTTTTCGATTTTAGGCTTTTGAGTGCATTTGATAGTTTTTGGCGAGCAATAAACGAACGAGATGGCGACCTTTGTTGTTAAGAATAGTGGTGGGGTGCCAAAGAAGCCAATGATAATCTTAAAATAATTTTTTTTTTCGTTCTAGTTTCAACAAGCGGCGCCAGCGACTGGCAGGCATGCAAGGATTCACACTGAAATAACAGAACAACCTTCGTTTTTCATAAAACGTAATTTACAATCTTTGAACTTGAAGACAATCCGAAGATTCATTGAAAATATCACTTACTGCGAAGGGCTCGGAGTTTACAGATGTTCAAAAGCTTTTTCTGTTACGGCGTGAGATTGAAGACAAAATCGATCATTACGTTTCGTATCGTGTGTTTTTCCTGTGTGAAACAACAGAAGATGCCGGCGACTAACGAATTACAAGTTAACACGAAAATCTAATAACACCTAAACAAACAATTTTAGCTACCGATTTTCAGTGAATTTTTAAAGAACAATTTTCTTTTAAGATAATTTGAAGATTGAAAATACATATTACGTACTAAAATGCGAAAGTTTTGTTTCGGTTGATTTGTCTCATTTGATAAAGAGGGAATCATTAATGTTTTCATTAAGACAGTATTACCTTGATTTTCCAATATTTACAATGATAGAGAACATTTGAAAAACAATGGAACTAGTTTGGCTAGGACTGTCACGACAATTGTTTCATCAAAAACAGTCAATGATCTAACGGAAAGTATTATTCACTCTTATCGACGATTCATTCATGAACGAAGATTTACCTCTGTTCATTAAGTAAACGGCGAGGAAGATAACTGCGAGTAAATTCAATTTTTTTATTTTGAAGTTCTGAGAGTTTGTTCGTTTGTTTGCTGCTATGGCGTATGTAAATCTGGTCTTTCCTCCACGAAAACTAAATTCAAATGGCACACTCCAACGAAACAAACGGGGATTTAATGTGGCCTTTTTTTCATTGAACTCCTTCAGTTTCTATTGTGCTATTTACGGTACAAATGTCCAAATTGAACGGACTCGGAAAGACTCACCGAGAGCGTAAATTTGTTGTAGAACTTAAAATAAAACTTCGCTCGCTCTTTTACAACGAACAAATTGTTTGAGAAAATTCAGATATTAAATGAATAAAAGTTACATCGTTCAGTTTAACTATAACCAAATACTTCACGTTTTAACTCTCTATGTACTTTTTGATTATTAAAATTAACTGCAGACGGTTTTCAGGCCGCTTGTCAACCAACGTAATTGACATTAATGCTTATACAAATTCATTCTGAAACCAATATTTTTCTGTCGACCAAAGTGATTTGAGACAGAGAAAACAGAGGATTCAGAAGTTATTTATTGGCTTGAGGTAGTGACCGACGTGTTTGCTTAAAAAAATACTGCCCAGCTGGAAAAACGAGATATATTTATGAAAAAAGGCAACGAAAGTTGGGAACTATAACTTATAACTTTTTCAGGTGGTCATGTGGCCAAGGGAAACACATACTAAACTCATTTTAATTTAGGCGCTGACCGAAAGGAGTGCAGCTCCATAAGCGTAAATACAAGGAATAAGCGCTTTATTACAGATGCCTCCGCTTTACTTAGGGGAGGGGGCACGGGAGAGTCTTGAAGTGAGACGCTAGATCATTTCCTATCTCATTTGACAGTAGCTTGGTTTTAAGTAATTTTAGGGTAATTCTAACAATTGATTTAGTCAAGCTTACAAAATTCGTAAAATTGACACTTAGGTTGGTCTGTCTCCGTTTTAATCAATTTTAATTTTCGAAAAACTATTATGGACAATATTTGTAATAGAGTTAAACTAAAGACAACTATAAATGTCTATTTTTCTACTGACCAATGAATCGGAAATAACTTCAAACATTTCATTTTTGCTTGTCACTAACGACAAGATAGCCGTGGAACAATTAATTTTCGTACACTTTGTTTCGCACCTTTAAAGCTAGAATAGTGTTGCGTTTATTATGTTGTCTTTACGTAGCGTTAGCTGTTATAAGCGCGAGTCTTCATATAGGGTATCATTGTTAACGCAGGGCGCGTTCCTTTCGGTACTGAACTGCTTTTTTCCATTGAGTTGCCTCCTGTTGCTATACGATTGCAGCGTGATCGCTGAACTGGGCGATTTGCATGTAAATAAAACTTTAAATTCACGGCGAATATCAGAGTTAAATGTAGAGTAGATCATAGGATTTATTGCTCCATTACAAAGCATTAAGAAAGCTGAAATTATGCTGTAGTACGAACCAAGTTTTTTGTTGAAGTTGAAGTGAAGAGAAAGCTGATAAATCCAAAATGGAATAAAGGAAATGTAAAATACAAAAACTAAAGTCGCCAGTAACTTCAAAGCTTTATGTTTCTTGGCTGGTTTCTTTCCCTTAACGTCGGTACTTTGAATCCCCGGTACTTTTCGAAGCCATATCTTTATCAGAATGGCAGAATAAAGAGCCAGTGTGACGACAAACCCGGCTGCTAATAGCACAGTTTGAAAAATAAACCAGCGGATAACTTTTTCGCAGCTGAGGCAGGCAGTACATGTTACCTTTCCATCGGGATCTTCATTGTCTTTCTCAAGGTACGCGAAGGAAAATAATGGTGCACAATAAATACCGCTGACAAGCCAAGTAGATAAGATTATAAAATATGCCCGTTTCGTGCAAATTAATGCCTTCAATGGGAAAAATATCGCCAAAAACTTCTCCACGGCGGTAGCTAAAATGGTCAGATTCGAGGTCAGAATTAAGAGCGCTGAGAAGAACACATCAAGCTGGCAGAGATAATTTCCAGAACGGCCACGAATTTGCCATGCTCCGTCCAGTATCAAGTGAGTATAGATTATTGGGATATTTTCCATCGAAAACAACAAGTCGGCTAGGGACAAGTTCATTATGAAAAGATGATGGACTCTTCTTCGCGACTTGCTCCCAATTCGTCTAAATACCCTGATGACGACTGCATTTCCAACCAGAGAGAGAAAAGCTGTAAGGTAATATGCGGATACTAGGAAAAACCTTCCAGTTGCAAGCCCTGTAATCTGTGAATCTTCATTTGGCTCAGACAATGCAGTGGAGCAATCGCTCAAATTTGTTGCGTTCTCGAGAATCATTTTGCATTGCACTATTTTAAACGACGCTTCTGCTCATAGGCGTCAGCTTTCAGATGTTTAAACAAAGGACACGTACATGCCTAATCTAAGCGAACTTTTTAAAAAAAAGCCATTAACGTTAATTTCATCTCGAGAATCAATTGGTTGTCTTTTGGTTGCACAAAATTCGCTTTTTGCAACATTGGAATAATTTTTTGTGTCGCTCCCTAATTCAAATCATATTTCAGTTTTCATTGCATATGAATATTTTCATTACAAAATCGTTACTCACATTAAAACAAACAAACTGGCATCATTGGTAATGGCCGCATTTCATTAAAACGTTTTCTAATGTTCACCACTACCCCGCAAGCTCTCGATCTCTCTCCGAGCAAACTACTCAAACTAAATAATTGAAAATTTAAACCAAAAAACCGTCATGGACATGTCAATTTATTTAACGAGCAAATGCCAGACCCGTTTTCAAATAAAGTGTAAGAGACCAGAATAACACCCGCAGAAAATTTTTTATTGTCGTTAGTATTTGTACGGAGATATCAATATCATGTTTTCGATCGCAGGTGACTGCCTTTTAGAACGAAAACGTAGTAGACATTTTAAACGACTTCTGTTATCAATAGATGCAACTTGATAAGTCTGACATGTACAATCACGGGTCTTACTATGCAATAAACCACATCCGCGACTCTAGGAGGATTGTCACTACTCGTACCTGATGAAATATTTAGATGGTGTGTAATAAATTTCTCAAGTAAGTTCAGTGTTTGCCTTTTTTTTTTCTTCCATATCATATATTTTCGATCAGTCGTTGGTATTCAAACTTTTCTGGCTTACATTTAAAAATTTTAAAGATTGTAGTAGATAAATAGGTCATTTACATGCAGCAAACGAAAAAATGATTGAATAATTCTCGTTAAGTATGGAGTCTATTTGGCAATGTTTTGTAATGGCCCCACCTAAAATGGCTAAGACGTCCCTTGACGACTGCTCTTGAGAGTTTAGGTGTGAAGTTACGATGATTTTTCATAAGGAAACGGAGACATTCTCACGGCAAATCTGGTAAGAAGTGTAAGGTGAATTTTGATAATCATAATACTGAGAGGGACTTCTCGTCGACAGTTGTTGATGACAAGCCAAGTTCTTTGCCGATTCATATGTTTAATTGGTTTTCTTAGAGAAGTTTTCTTGTTCATACACGTCGAAGTTCCAGCGTGAGTAAGGATTCCTCGCTCCCTGCTTCTGAATTTACAACTGAGTCGAGGATCTCAGTCCATCATTTCCATCATCTATGCTTTTTTTCCTTGCAGCAGCCTCAGTTTCAACAGAGTAAGCAAAACTCCTAGAGCATTTGCAATGAGACAGAGCAGCCTTGATCCCATCACGAAAGCTCTCATTGAAAATGAGGTAAATAATTGGATTTATGGCACCGTTCGAGAAGTATAACAAAAATGCAATAAACCGGATGTGATTTATTTTTAACAATTCGTAGAAACCAAGGACCAAAGACACATGTAAACTCAGAATTGGCAAGGAACAGATGTAAAACACGACAATCAAAGTAATGAGCATCTTAAAAATATCGCGATTTCTTTTCAATCTGCGCTCGCGATTTTTTTGACTTGCATTGCCAGGAAATTTTCGACCCGAAAGCTTGAAACCAATGGCTGTATACAACGCCAGGATGGTGGCGAGAGTTGTGGCTAAAATTCCCGCCAAAACCATGTACCACGTTTTCAGAATCCTTCTATCTGTGAGATTACACGAGGTGACACCGTTTCTAATTATTAAGTCACCGTAGTACAGTAGTGGTGAAGCGAAAAGCGTGGGTATTAACCATGTCACAAATATGATCATAAAACAGATTCTTCGGGTAATGATCTTCTTGAGCGGAACGTACACTGCAAACACTCGATCCACGGCAATGGCTAAGATGGTAAGATTTCCAGTAACTATTGTTATAAGAGAAAAGAACATGTCGATCTTGCATAATGCAATTCCAACCCATCCTAGAAGATTCCATCTTTCTTTCAGTAAATAATTGTTATAAGCATGGGGTATGTTCTGTAAAGCGAACAGAACGTCGGCCACTGACATGTTTGCGATGAAAAAGGTATTAGCTGTTCTCATACGGTTTTGATGGTTCTTCTTAAGAATCACTAGCACCAACATGTTTTCAATTAAGGACGAGACGAGGACAAACATGCAAATTGTTGCCTTTGTGAGTCTGAACTCAAAGCTTTCTCCCTGAGAGCCTCCAGTTGAGGAGTTAGTGCTGTTTTCCATTCCGATGTAAGAGTCAAAATGAAATATTTCGTTCCTACCGTTCAGATCTGCGTCTCTTGTTTAATTCTCGGAATAAAGTTGTAGATGTTGTCTTTAAGAGGTTTGTCGTCTTTGAAATTAAAATCGCTTACCAACAATTTTAAAAACTGCACACATCAACTTTGGCGTCAAATGGAACACCAAAGCAAATATCGATTCTGATGTTAATGTCATGTTAATTTTTGAATAAATTCAAATAAATTGCTTATCATGTGGGAGGATTGTGCTGATAGCAGGTAAAAGATGGCCTCAAAAGTCTTACAATGATAAACGTTTCGATTAAAAGTTTTATTTGTGGTGAGTACAACAGCCACTCCAGAAAAGAAATGAGGTCTACGGGCACTAAACACTTTAGATATGATTTTGTTTGCGAAAACGCTACAGTCGCCAAGGTGGCACATTCTTAAATTAATTTTTATTATTTGGGAAATATATTGTTTCAGCTGTCATAAGTACACCAGCAATATTCTGAGCCAACACATAATTCATTAGTCTTAATGAAAAATATTGAAATGACCAATTTTATGTGCTCAGTAAAAAAACAAAGGTATAGTCACAGGACATTAATAAAAAAAGATGGAAAACTTAAAGATGAAGAGGCAATATTAAGTACTAAAGGAAGGTGGCTTAAAAGGACAAAAAATTGGAACGGATAAGCAATTTTTAATGGCAGTTTTGATCACTAAATTAGCTCATTTTAAGTTTTTCTAGAATATTGCAAAATTCCAAGACAAAACTTCACCAATATAAAATGGGCCCTTTCGTAGTTCCATGTTTGCAGATACTTTCTCATAAAGGTGCAACAACGAAAATTATTGATAAAAAAATAGTAATCATTTATATTGGTGTCGAGGTAATTTACTTTTTATTCTCCTTACTAATGTAAAACCGAGGCAAGGGAAAATATGAGCGGAAGCCTGCTTAATCTAAGTCTGTCTCCACAAAAACTACATCATTGTGATCTCCTTTTCCTGATAGTCAATTACCGCACATTTTAATTGGCGTATTCCATAATTCAACAAGAAAGAAAATTAGTTTGTAGTTGCAAACAAATATATATTTGTATGTTTCAGCCTCTCTAAGCTCTCTAAAGGCAAAATAATAGTCTTTTTAAAGCAACGCTTAGACAAAAACGAAAATGCAAAGTCAGTTATTTCGTTTGAAAAGCACCGTTTGAACGAAATTGAACTGGCTATTTCTAGGCCCGAAGATCGACAGTTTGACACCTCATGTCAAACTGCCAAAGTAAACAATCTGGTCAAAAGCTTGTCTACATTATATTTTGCAATTTGTTTGATTGATAATGTTTTTAAGGAAATTGGTGGATGTCTCAGATGAATATGCACGACAAACTGTACTGTAAACATGAATTATTTTTAAAGATTTTACAGGACAGTTACAAGATACTTCCTATTGTCAAATTCGTAGATAAAATTATTTTATGCTTAAATTTCTGACCAAATTTAATCTGGTAAAGTATTTTACATGTCATCACGCCGTGGAACAGTCTGTCTTGTCTTTATTCTAGTTGTTATAGAATGCGTCGTAAGTGTACTTAAGGCATCAGTCATCCACATAACTTTGTTGTTATCGGCAGAGCGGAGACCGACTGTTTGGAGAAGCTATGGAGCGCTACTTCTGTATGCCTAGAAAGTTTTATACACCCTAAAGGTTCTAGGAGAGATTGCTGTAAGTTTTTGTCAATGGCGACTGAACCCTTAGCCGTGGGCTTAGCTCAGTCCGTGATAGATTGTGTTGCTTAGAAGTCACTCTGCTGTAACGATTACCCTATGAAGTAAAGTTACATAAATAAATGGCCATATAAGATACCTTTACAACGTATTTTTCCGTAGGTGAAATTATACCCTAACAATGGTCCAGTATAGGTCCAACATCGTTGGACTGTGATGCACCAACGAGAATTTAAGGTGGCAGGATTTAACAATGTCATGCTAAGTGTGCCCGATTCAAAAGGAATTTGTCTCACCGCGCAAAGCGAAAAGGGACTTGCTTGGAGATCACTTTATACTTCCAGTGGTGTGCATGTAATGCCAGACATAGGGTCAGCAGAAACAATATGAAACCTACGACGTTATGTAGAGGCCATTAACAAGTTTTCTCAATTCCATTACAGTTTCTACGATACGACTGTTATGGACACTCCCAAGAGGCTACTAAGTTCCATACTCCTGATCTGATCTTCATGTGTAAACCTTTCGCTGATGCTGAAACGAAAGGCAAAAATAATAACACTAAAACTGAAAGCCAGTGATACAGCGATTGCAAAGGCAAGAGATACATGCCTGCTTTGAACACTCTGTTTCATAAAATAATAGAAGGAGGGTAACAAAACAAGAGAAAAATTCAAGCAGCTTGTAGACTGCTACTACTATAAAATATTCTGATTTCTAAGGAAAGAGGTCATAAGGGGTGTTGCTATTCTCCAGGGGTAAAATGCTGTACATAGCTCATCGCAGCTAGTTACCCTCATATACTTGTAACATTTCCCAGACATATCAACCCATAAGTACTCCCTGGTGCAGACAATCAACACTAAAGTCAAGACTTTCCCTAAGATACGAAATCTGATATTTAATCCCGATTACATTGCACTAGCCTATAAGACACCCGATCGCCATTGACAATAACAATGAAATATCATACTTCACCTCCATATGAGACTGTTCCATCAGTTTTCGTAGCAATGTAATTGCTTTCGGGCAGATCAGACTTGAGCCTTTCAGGAACTGAAATAGCAGGTACGAAATCCCTAGAAGACGATTCCCGTTTCCATTTCTCAGGCAAAATGCAACTCCAAGTAATGCCATCCCTACTGACTGCGTGACATTGACTATCTGTTCCCAAGCCAAAAATCCTTTTGTACGATCCACGAACAGTCATCCCAAAAATCATTTTCACTCGCGGATCTAGCCCTATGGGTAAAAAGATGCCACTCTGTGCTTCATAGCGGCATTGAAATAAAATACATTGGACAACTTTAACGAGAAAGCATTACTTATACATACCAATCCATTGAACACCATCATTTGAAAAGTAACAGGAAGGTTTCAAATCACTATAGAAGAGGACGACAATAAAGTAAAGATTACAAACCGCAAAAATTACGAAATCAGTGGATTACTTACGCCGATCACTTACAATGCTTATGCTTTTTTAGGTGAACATTCCTCTGTTTTAGCGGTTAATTGTTGACTCGTCGTTATTCGTCTCTACCGCCAGAGGCAGTACGAGAGTGCTATCCTTTTTAACTGTAATTTTACGAAGATCTCATACAATTTTAACTACTAAGCAAGAAATCATGCTCTCTTGCATATAATTTAATGACCTTTTCTTCTCTTGGCAGAGGTATACTTCGTCAAACAATGGATTCAACAGAAATCCTCTCTGAGCATCTAACAAGACATAGAAAAATATTCTTTAAGATCTACCAAACATAATTTTACAAATCTAACAACTCACTACTTTCTTTCAAATATTCGAATTCGTTACTACCATATCTATTACTGACAATATTTAAATCTTTTAGTTAGCTTTGCATATCATCCCCTGAAAATTTCAATAATTGATTTTTGAGGTTAAATCGAGGTCCAAATTCTCTCGTTGTCCGCCATATTTAATTACCTTCTCTCACTGTAAAGTTAAGCGTTACGGACTCTATTGAGCCCACGAACAACTTGGCAGCATTACTTGCCATGCGTTGTTCATACAGAATGAAGCTTGGTACAGACAGGAAGTATTTTCCAACAGAAAGCACACGTTTAGGATCAATTTGGACCGTGATGTTAATTTGCTTTGATGACCCGGGCTGAATTTCTCCAATCTGACAAACATAAAAAAATTGCAAAAGTAGGATTGAGTTAAAAATGTCATTTGCATTTGATTGTCTTATGGCGTCTGCGCGCCTCGCTTGAATAACAATTCATGACGATACCATTAACCTAGAGAAAGATAACTGAAAACTATTGGCGAAGCTGTTAGCCGTAAGAAACCACTATTGGCTTTGATTAAATAAGCATTGTATAGGCTTTCCTTATGCAGTACAGTCGTGTGAGGCAAATGCCCTGAGCTGAATTGAACATCTGCCGAAAGTTAACGATTTTTCTTCTTCTCACTGAGACGGTCATGACTTAAGTCTCAGAACTTCAGTCAATTGGCTTTTTAAAAGGCACTGCGTGCTGGAAAAGACGTTGTCTTGCAAAAACGCTTTCAGTTGGCCCTAAGCTTTCGAACTTTTTATTAATCAACGGACAATTGAGAGGTTACCTCCTTGGCATGCAACAAAACTATGAATCGAACAGCAGGAAATGAAGCCTAAGGTAAATGAGCCTTACCTATTTTTTTCATGGGCTCACCTTAAAATTATACTCTCCAGGGTAAGGACTAGACACATTTGTCAAAGGCACGTGATTCAGCATACTCGCGTAGTAAGGAAGAGTCCAAACCAATATTGTATTAAAGGCAGTGTCACGCGACCACAAGTCGTGCGATAAAATTACTGTAAATGTTACTGAATCACTATAAAAGGATGTAAGCACAGAAATTAATAACTCATTATGGAGAAAACTTAATAAGTTGTTGGTTGCAGGAAAATGTAATCTGTGAGCAAAAAATTAGTTCAGTTCTCACTCACTTTTGAAACAAATTGTTGGCATCGTATGTTGATACGGTCTGGTGTATTGTAGGTCTCCTTACTGCAAAAAGAAAATTAATGCTTAATTTCACGGTTTAAAGAGTTTACAAATAAACCTTAAACTTTAAACTCCTGGGATCTTTTTCCCCTAATTTTCGGTCAACAGCAATTTATGCCTGCCGATTTTACTCCTTCTTCCTTTCTTTGCACCCGTTTTTTTCGCCGTGCTTCTCGCAAGGCCTTGAGCTGGGACTTATGGCCTGCAGGTGCGGCCCTTTATGCACCATCAACCCCGGCTTTTACACGGGAATGCTTTCTTTTTTCCAATTCTTTTCAATGAAATCGCGCGCGGAGCCGTATGGGTCATGTGAAAATCCTCGTGAACACCCACCTCTCACCAGGACCTCCACAACACGAGAGTCACTCCCAGCGACGTTTGACGCATTACAAGCATAGAGTCCTGCATCGGACTGTTTGATCGAGGAGAGCTCAAGACTTGTATCATTATGGACCAGTTTACTGTCTTTGTACCAGCGGACTGCTGGTGAAGGATAGCCGCGCGCGGAGCATTGAAGTGTCAAGGAATCTCCTGTGACAACTTCAAATAGAAAACTGGAGACGTTGATGATGGTGGGTGGTTCTGAGAAACGAATGAAATTTTATGTCGCAATAACTTGTCAATGGTTCCTTCTACAAGGGTTGCAAAAGCATTATTACAGTACACGTATTCCCCTCCTCAGGGAAAAAAGCACAAAACCCTTTAAGATCATAACCTCTCCTTTCCGTCGCTTCATAATTATCCTCACGAAGCAATGAGTTACTTGATAATAGCCTATAATTTAATCTCATTTCCGAGTGTCGTCGTCTTGAACTAAATCTTTTCCGCATTGTTCTCATGCAATTTACACACCACCCTATAATACACTGTCACATGACTTTCTGTCACCAAACAAGTATTTTCATCGAAAAATAATTGGATACAACTATGAACTGCAATGCTACCGTCAAAACTCCTCATAAGTCTGTCGTCAACCAACCTTTAACCAAAACTGTACCAAGCGATAGGCCGGTGTTTGATTTTCGGCTTAGCACACAGCTAAAATCCAGTATTTCTTCCATCTGAAAATAAATATTCTGTTAGATCATGATGGACGGCATTTAAAATACATAAAATAGTCTCGAGCTAAAAGATTTGGTCCAGCAAAATGGGCGTCTGACCACTGGCCTTTGCCACGTGCTGATCACGCATTTTCACTTTCAGTAACATTTATTCAGCGAGGGAACATTTGTTTAAAATGTATCGCTGGTGGGATGTAAATAAATCTATTCAACGCCACATGATCACCAATCAATGCCACTAATCATAATTTAACGAGGAGTAAGGTAAACTGCAGATCAGAAATGGCAGAATCTGTTTCCCGCTCGTCGCCACTCCAGACAATTCAAAAAGGAAATCACCTTTAGAACAGTAGTACCCTCGGGCATTTTCGTTTCCGACAAATTTAATGTCTGTGGAAAGATTTGGATTATCCACAACAGTGCCCCACAAAATCAAAGCAGAGGCCTGTCCTTTTTAGGTTCATTTATCACCTAGTTCAACCTGGATGTTCTTGATGACTCCAATTGCTTTTTTTTTTTTTTTTTTCTTACATGTTAGCGGGGTCATATTGTATTAAGCTAAAATTACCTTAATTTCATGGGTACCACCAGAATTGGGAGCAGTAAATGGCTGAGAGAAATGTTTTTCCTGACAGTCCAGCTGCGCTTTTCCAAAGGACGCAAGACAGATGCTTTTGTTGAAGAGATTCAGATACACTTGTCGTACGCAGGACGGACAATAGAACGAAGGCGTAAGACAATATTTGTAATAACCTGTGAAAATTAAAATTAGCATTATCAGGTTTTGACTGCAAAGTTTCAATCGAGTTTAAATGCGAGCTCTAGCTTGTTACTAAAGGAAAAAAAATTCTTCGCTATTTTAGCACAAATCAAAGAGCGTTTTTTCGCTTGTGAAAACTCTTTTAACGTCGTTTTCACCTGCCAGTAGGATCCTTTTTCCGTCATTATACTCTCTTCAGCCTGCATCGTCAGACTCTGCAGTCATGCACGTACAAAACGCATTTTTTTTATGTACACACTGTCCCCTCTATGTTATTAATAAATAGTTGGTGTTTTTAACTGAATATATCAAGATCTAATGTGAAAGCGCATAGGAAATTTGGAGAGCATTAAACAAGCCGACAGCGTCTTGGACAACTTTAACCCTTCTCATGTGTTTCCCAGACTTCTCAGGTGCATCAACAAGGTTAGAATTAAACTTATTCAAAGATTTGAAAGTCTTGAAAACCTGATGACCCTCTCATGCCAGATTGATGGGAAAAAAAACCGACGTACCTTTAATTGTAATCAACTCTCCGCGCTGTGCTTGAAGAAAAGTTGTACCTGTTAACGCAAATTCCTTATCGCACGTCCCTGTGAACGAAGGAGTAGTCACCATACATTAAACTCAGATAAATCCTATATGCATTAAGGATTTCATTGAAAAAATCTTGTATCCTTTCGTATTTTGTGGCGAGTATCTTTTGCAAGATTGAACCAAACCTAAACAATGGAACTTTTTGTATTTTTTCGAATGTCTTTTTGAGTCTGGATGCTGAGCCAAAAATAATTTCAATTTGTAATCAGTTTATTAGCCCAAATGACAGCCTCTCCTTTAATAAAGTACTTCGTTAAGAGAAATCTTCAATTCTACGTTAGCACAGTGGCCAAATCAGTTACGAATGCACATCTATTGTTCCGATAAATAAAAATGTACTGATCTCGCTGTGAAACTCTATAAATTGTTTTTTTCCAGATGGCATTTTGAATTGTCTCATCTGCTCCGCTAATGAAAAATCAATAAACAACACAGGAACATTTTGCACGTATTCAAGCTTATGCTAGGAAAAGAGACTTGGAATAAGAGACGTTACGCAAAAGAGACGTGGAATATGAAAATTCGTTTTCCTTTGACAAAAATAGGCAGTTTCCTTAGGCAGCTCTGTATAGTAAAACTATGAAAGCATTAAGATGCGATTTCTAATCATGTTTAAATTCATTGAAACGGCAATCTAACCGCTTACCTTGTACTACGAACAGCAGAATGACCTTGAAAAACAAAGGCAGTCTTAAAATTGTCACAGACCGCATTGTACCTCAGACTAGAGAACTTACAATAGGGAAAATTGGTTTTTCTTTTCCTTACATGCTCTTGACGCAACTTCAAACAGAGACCGGTTCACTTCCAGTCTTGTTTTCACTGTTGGCAAAATGTAACATCAACCATTGCGCATTATGAATTAACAGTAAAACACCCGGCCAGTGAAACACAAACACAGATGCGCATTTGACGAATTTTAATGAAATTTTCTTTGTAAACGATGATGATACAGAACAATAAGATTCTATCTTAGTTCGTGTTTTTCTTCTCTGCACAAGGAGGCTACTGTTTCATGTAGGCTCGTTAAGGAACAAACTGATTTCGAATCTGAACTCGACCGGTTACAACAAAAAAACCGCTGTATTTTCAACTAAAAAAAAACCTTTTTTCGTTGATTTTTAAAAATAACTCATGTTTACTTTGTTCTACAATTGCTCTGCCAACTTCATCTTTGGCGGCCTTTTATTTACGCGGTTTTCTTTTAATCATAAATGACTTCTTACTTGACAAGCTTAAAATTGATTGGACAATTTGAATAACGTCATAAAAACGTCATGAATTAAGCCTGGAAACTAAGAAATAGTATATAGTACGGCATATCGTTCGAACCGTGATGAAAGTAATATCCATCACGAAAAACAATGGGTATCAGGTATTTCTCACGTATTGTTCAAATATCCCGAGTAACGCCAAGTTTAACAGAATTATTTTCGAGCGGAAGCCAAAAGTATCAAAGAGAAACTACAAGATAAAAATAATTTAAATTTTCAAATTGTCCCTTTTTAAATATCCATGCATGGAAGGGTTAAAAACACAGAGGGGTCTTGCTATCCTGTATGGAGATATACTGAAAAATTTGTAGAAAAAAGAAAAAAAAAGAATAACAGAATAAGTACTCGCTAAAGATTTTCATTAAGATAAGAAATATCGTAGACGTAATGTGTAAAACACATTAAATTGATGTGTCGGTCAGGCTGAAAGTGAAAAGTGTTTCCTTTCTAGTTTCACCCTCGGAGTTTGCAGATGCAGATGCTTTAAAATTGAGAGAGTTTGTAAGCCATAAGAAAAATTCTCCAAAATTTTGGTATTAAAAATAGTTCTTTTATTTGCTTTAAATACATAAATATAAGCACAGGTATTATAACATTTCAATAATTACAAAACTAAATAGAACGGAGCCTTCTTTGTCTCAAAAATAAGTATTCATATAAATACACTACGTTATTTTTATTTGTAAAATCGACATGCACAGTACTACGCATCATAAGTCTCTTGCTTCCGTTTTTTTTCTAATGCATTTAACCTTCTCAAAGTTTTTCGCTCATTTTATTTCGCCTCATCATTCCTGTTTAGAAAAGTAGTCCAGACTCGGTCTTGTAGGTTTAAATAAACTTTTTCATATCTACCATAACTAAGAAATATCAAAGCTTGATTTGTCTTCTACAATTATCGTATTACATGATCATGTTTGACCATTCGCGTCTTGGTCACATATTGTTTTTTACTGCGTTTCAAGCAGTTCGATGGTATCCATATAATTTAACACGGGAAAATCCTGTGTTCTGTGTTATACTACCTAAGCGGGCAACATTGGCCCATCTACCCGCTCGGGATTGCCCGCTTTGATCCCGCGCAAGTAAAAAACCGCCTAGAGCAAACTTACAGAAGCAGATCAGTTCTTGACCGAAACCATGTCATACAATAGTTGTGGTCACCAGCTGGTTCCTGTGATCACTGATCTAAATATGTTGGCAAAGTTATAACTGGAGATAATTCTAAACTTTTTGAGAATGTATTATAAATGAAGTGTATCTAGAAGAGAATTGATTGTTTGTGTTTTAAACGAGTCCCAGTTGGCCTGATCTTACATTATCTGTTCCAGAGTGGCTTGACTTGGGTATGGAGGAATCTGATGAAAAAAAGTAAAGTTGACCGACACATGACATTGCCGTTAATGTCTGGTATCAATTTGTTTCTGGTTGGAAATTTCTGAGTCAGTTTTTGCAACACATTTAAATTATCTCGCAAAAATAAGTGAAAACTAAATTTCCACCCATACCCATGCTCATACCCACATAGCATTATTACATGGCTTCAGAGTTGTAAGCACGGATATCACAAAGCACGCACTTGCTACCATTAAGCTGCTTTAAGAAAAAAATCGTAAGCTAATTACCTGATTTCTAAGTTTTTGCAGTGTTACCTCGGTAGCATGCTGCAGGAACCAATTTTTTTTCTTTATCAAAATACATTCCGCTCCATTACTGACCTGAAAAATTCACAAAACATAACAGTTAACTTAAGACGAAATACGCTTTCATCAGTCTCCTTCAAAGCGCGCATTAGATGAACAAAGGGAAAAACAGCTCTAGCTTCAAATTTGTGTTGGGATCCAAGAAGTACAGCTTGAGTTAAAGACGTTTGTCTTGCTTACATATAGAGTCAAAAGAGACGAACTACCTTAAAGTAGGAAGTAAAACTAACAGGTAGCAATTAAAATTGCTATCAGATGTTTGTACCAAATGGCATTTGACGGCAGGATTATCGAAAAGAAACACTGTAAATAACACTTAAACAATACTTGGGGGTTAAGAAGTTTTGGGACGAGGGAGTGAGACTATGTGTCCCATTTTGACCTAAAAAGTTAAAGTTTAAATAAGGCTGAAAGTCTTTGAACTCACGGAATAATTTTACATGTGGAAAGCGAGTCATTTTCTGTGTGGATGGAGAGAAACCGAGGGAAGCTAAGCCGTGTGGGATTATTGTCTCTGAGAACAAACTCCACGACCCAAGATCACTTTTTCCAAGTACTCTCCGAAATGATAAAAAAAATATCGTAAGAAGGACTCCCCTTAGAGTAAGGCCTACATGAGAGAGTCACTCTCTGAGTCTGATTCCCTCTCACTGTAGTTTATAATAGAATCACTTACACACTGATCCTTGGGTTTAAGAAATTCTATTTGCACCACAACTTACTCGTTCTTTGAGTCCACCTCTGACGTCTCTATTCGTCTTTTGTTATTCTGGAATAACAATGATACAAATTTGTATCATTTTTTTTCTTTTAGGGTGAATTTCTTTTTACTAATAACAACCAAAACCTACGCTAGAATGTGTTTTGTCCTTCTTCCACCTGGGCTTAGCCGTTAAGAGGATTTACCATGATAGCGATGACGATGATGCTGGTATCGATAATTATGTGTTACAGGCACTTGAGAGTATGAAAATTCCCTCAGCGTTCTGACCTATCACTTTTTTCTTGAGAAAGAGAGGGAGGGGATTACATGGACTCCTTCCCTATCTTAGCCACACCCTTTCATCGGAGTAACAATCACCAATCCTAACCAGGCTATTAACTGTCAAGATTTCAAGCAGGGGAGGAAAAATAAGAGCTCTCAGTACTCACCGAAAGAGTTTTATTTCGGGGGTTTCCACATTATTAATCCGTTTGTGGAGGCGTTCAATTTTCTGCCCATGTTTTTCTTTACCTCTGACTGCATGATGAAAAGCGACAAAAAATATCTTTTTAGCGACGTCCGTAAAAGATGGTAATAAGCTGGCTTTCTGTTCTCTCCTGTTTAACTACTTCTCGATAGAACGCAGAATGCAGCAGAGGCTTTCACTGACTAAAATGCCCTGAAATGTTTCTCATTTTTTATCGTGGGGGTGGGGGGAGAATTTGGGAGGGGTCACATGGTTTTCAGGGGGAATGGTAGGGAACTTAGTCGTCTTTAGCAGAGTTGAAAGGAGACATTATGAAAAATTGAATGCCAATGAGGGAGGTAATCAGAGTGTTACAGAGCTTTAGTGGGGGGGGGGGGGGTTGAGGGAACAGGTAAATTTTATTCTTACTCAAACGAAATCCCCATCCCAAGGCGATAAATCATAACCGGTTTTAGAAGGCTCTTAGACGAAAGGCGAAGTTAAACAAAAAAGGAACAAAAGGGGGCTGAATATGCAGAAGATTTACAAGTATAACAAGTGATTAACTCAGCCAAAATTGTGAAGAATGACTCCTGACTCCTTAAAACTCCACCTAAACATTTTAATAAACTCACCATCTCGAGATAATGCACTCAGGCGTTCCATCCAAGTCACATTTTTCGCTGTTTTCTGAGGTGAAAAAAAATTGATTTTGGCAATTAGCGATTGATTTGAGTTCCTAGAAGATTGTGTGTTTCTTTCTGTAGGAGATGATGTCAATAAGTATCATTATTTAGTTTTGAAAGCTGTAATTAGATAATTTTGAAGGGCCATTGCATGTTGCTTATGAGGATGGTCAGAAAGCTGTAATAGAT